ATTTGTTATTCAACATAGTGAAAGGATGATCTGTAGCCCCATCGGGAAAATTTTTTTTGGCCCCTGCCTGCTACTTCTGAAGACTGTTTACATATTTCAAGACTCAAATCAATCCCCCAAAATGGCATCTGTCCCTTTAACTCGTAAAAGCCGTGGTATAGGCTATATCTCATACTACTTAATTAAACTTTCCGAATAATCATGAATGTTGGCTTGGAGAGGTGATATCAACATTCCAGTTGGTCTGCTTTAAAGAAGATACATTATTAGGCTTGATTGAATATTAAATTTCCAATCTGGAATATATGTCGAAGTCACACTCATCTTCACAATTTCAAGTTATTACGAACTGCGTGTAATACCTTGACTTCATCTCTTTTCATGCATCAAGATGCATTTGAAGATGCAACGCTTTGATTGGGTAGTACGCTATCGATACAGACCATCAGAACCTTGACAAAAAATTTGTTAATTTAAGCCGTAATGTGTGCAGTCTTTTTGATTGGTTGTATTCGCTAGTGTACCATCCAATCAATTCGCTCCATGCTGTGATATAAGAAAAGAGCCCAATGAAGTTAATGTATTCCTAATACCAAGTTCAGTGTGACATTTAAGGGGCGAAAATTTATATACATGAAATTTTTTATGACACAAACACAGTTTTCCTAAAAATTAGGTTAAGACACATAGTATTGAGTCATATGAAATCTCTTTGTCTTAGCGACAATAAATTCCAATGTGTTTGAAGAAACAATTAAAGTCACCCAGTTTTACCCCTGTTGTCGTTTGAGCCAAACACACAAACAAATTTTTAAGTTTTTCTTGAAGATTCTAACTAAAATCAAAACCAAATTGTAAAGCGTAAAGCAGGAAGATATTAAGAATCTATTCTCCTTATCATCTTAATAGTAGGCCTACTCATACATCAATATAATTAAATAGATTGCCAGATAAATGTTGCAGGTAAAATATGATCGCATAAATTGGTTCCTTATTTCTTTTTTTTATAATTAACACAACAAACATGCATTCTTTTGATATCATTGACGACAGTTTTAAAGCAATATTTATAATTCTCATATAAGTTTTTATTGAGGGTTCAATATAAACTGAGAGGCAAAAGAAAGTTTTCACTTTAAAAATCGTTGTATAAAAAACAGAAAAGCAAACGGCATAAATACCGAAGTTGGACAGAACAGTCATTCAGTAAGCTAAAAACCACCAAAAGTATGCCAAGACTAACGCAAGCGCAACGCGATCGGTATTGCCAATATGTGGGCTTTTCAACGACAGATAGCTACAACCTTCAACTGCTCCCAGATCACCATCAGCAATATGATAATCCGGCTCCCAAGACCCAAGACAGACCAAGATCGGGAAGACCGAGAGAGACAACAACGGCCAACGACCGCTACATCCGGGGGATTCATCTTCAGACATAATTATAGGTGACGGCGGCGTCGACAGCAGCAACAGCACTAGGTCATGTCATCGGCAGACAAACAGTCCCTCGACGACTTCTTTCAGTTGGCTTACGAGCCTACCGACCCTTCCGTGGAATGGCGATGACCCGTCTACATCTTCAACCCAGACTGCAATGCGCACGAACTGCACGTCGGTGGCAGCGACGTGACTGAGCGAAGGTGCTCTTTACAATTGAAAGTCGGTTCTGTCTGTTCAGGAACGATGGCACGGTTCGAGTTTTTCGTCGAAGTGGATGGCGACTGGCGTCAAACTGCATCACAGAAGTTCACTCGTTTGGAGGTGGAGGCGTCATGATATGGGTTGGCATTTGTGGCTAGATTACAACACGGATGGTTATCATCCGAGGAAATCTGAACGCTCAGCGATATATTGATAAAGTGTTGAGACCTGTTGTAGTGCCTTTTATTCAACAGCGGCCAAGGGGATTGATTTTACAACAAGACAACACAAGGCCTCATATTGTCCGAAGTATTGCCCTGGCCTCCTTGTTCTCCAGATATGAACCCCATTGAACATCTCTGGGATCATCTTGATGGTCAGCTGAAACAATATGTACCGCCTCCAGTGAACTGACAGGAACTTGAACAGACTCTATTGAACTTCTGGAACATGATTCCTGTTGACGTTATCCGCCGCCAGACGACGTCAATGAGGAGGCGTGTGTTTGCGTGCATGTTTGCCCAGGGTGACCACACTCGTTATTGATGAAGTTTTTTCCTGACTACTGTCATGGAATGAACTCTTTATGCAATTTTGCAATGAATTCTGGTTTTTGTAATTTTTAATTTTGACCCCTTGACTCTTCCTTTGTGTATTGCGGAGAATTGAATATCGGTATTACAATGCATTTTCATTCTAATTCAAGGAAAATGATTTCTGTTTATAAATCAATCATCATATATCTCACATATGCCTTTGACTTTGGTGTGTGGTCAAATGAAGTCGGTGAAAACTTTCTTTTGCCTGTCAAAATATGAAATATGGGTCTGTATAGCACAGCAAACGAAAAATTTATATCTCGTGTGATATTTAATGCATTTTATTTTACGATTTACGACTGACATTCGACATATTCAACAAAAAACCATCAGAATTCAACGAGATTATTTCGCTCAAATATTAAGATAGGACAAGAGCCCCCTATGCAAAAACATGTTTATGAAATAGATAGAAATTCTAAACATAATTTAGGTCTGGGCCTACATCATTTAGATTGTATTAAGTTGGGGGTGTTAAGGGTGTTGAAATGATGAGGGAGTTTTTGTAATATCGTAAGAGTTTATTAATCAATACATTATAACAGTTTTTTTTGTGTTTAATTAAAATGATAATTCTTTTAACGACAATTCGCCAACATTTTTATGAATAAAGGATTAAAAATGTCTTCTATTAAATCCAGTTCTTTATCATCTTCACCTAGCTAATCTGTATTCTCCAAACCGTTTTTGACGGACATAAGATTCATTTCATGTCTACCATAATGATTTTGACAACATGTCTACTTTAATAACAGTGATCCTGTCAAGTTGATTACAAACCATCTTGTTGCGCAGATGTTGATATTCTACTTATGATGTATTCTCATTCCTCGACAGTTGAAGAGACAGACGTAATATTTATGCTCATTGCTCACATATCATAAAAGTATTTGGACATTTTCGGACTACCTTAACAGGTGATTGAAAATAGTACGGTCTACAGAGTGAACACGCACAGACCTTTTTCGCTTCCGTCTGGAGTCTTCAAGTTCATTAAGTGGAATTTGAATAAAGAGTATGTTGTTGAAATTAGGCTAGATAGATTGTATATGATACAGGAATAAAAATGTCAAGCTCTTTTAAGGAACCAAAGGAATCAAGCAACTTTGATTCAAAAGAGAAAACAAACGGTGGTATGTGGCTGGTTCGTTTTATCATATCTTCCTATACCCATCCATAGCCTCAATTCATTTATTAAATCGACACTTCAAGTTCAACTAACGACAAAATACAATGAGAAAATTTTCACACAGCGAGTTTTCTCTTAGAAGAGTACTTTTTTATCAGATTCGCAAGTAGAACAAATAGGCAAAGTCATGTTAACATTACCGAATACTGCTCTCATCTGCCCTTAATTAAATAACTCTTTGGACATTTGTCGGCAGACTGCTGTAACTAAGTAGTGTCAGAAAAACATGGCCCTGTTTATTGGAGATTTCTCTGCACCTTTTGACTGATTTTGACAAAACTTGGTATGATTGTTTGTAATCACCCAAGTATGAACCCTATTGAAAATCAGAAAAATCGAAAAATATTTAGTATGAGTTATTGCCCTTGTTCTTAAAATGCTCGTTAACACTCTAGAAGATGCAATTCTGGACAGATTTTTTTTGAAACTTTGTGTGAGTGTTTGATATCACCCAAATATGGACCAATTGAAAATCCAAAAAATCCAAAAAATAATTAGTATGGAGTAAACACTCCAGAAGTCATAATTCTTGACGAATTTTGATGAAACTTGGTGTGAGTGTTTGCAATCAACTAAAGATGAAGCCTATCAAAAATTAGAAGAATCTAAAAATATTTACTATGAGTTATTGCCCTTGTTCTTGATTAAACAAAGCATTAAATTTGTAGCCCTTAAACACTCTATAAGGTTGAATTATTGACAGATTTTGACGAAACTTGGTGTGAGTGTTGTTAACATCCAAGAATGAACCCAATTGAAAATCAGAAAAATTGAAAAATGATAGTTATTGCCCTTGTACTTAAAAATGCGTTCAAGTTTTAGCCTGTAAACAATCTAGAAGACTTTGATTAAACTTGGTAATATTATACAGCATCACCTCCAAAAATTGAAAAGAAGTATAAAACTGAAGCTTCATAGTTGTAATTGTTACTGTACTGTTTATTTAAAGTCAAATCTGCCAGTGGGCGTATATAATATACGCGTTTATTTAAAGTCAAATCTGCCAGTGGGCGTATATAATATACGCCCACTGGCAGATTTGACTTTAAATAAACAGTATATATATAGTATAACAGTATATGGTATATTACCTTGCCTGGCTAGCTGTCTTCACATTAGCTATCAGAAGTTGGAATAGAGGCAGATGTTTTGGACTAGTCCCAATTCGTGATAAAATCCCAAGAATATATATTGTTGAGAAGAGAATTAAATTGTATTTAAATTGATCTGAACAGAAATTATAGATGTAAGAATATGTTTTCAGCCAGTTTGTCTGTGTTAGAATATATAAGTTCTGAGCTAACAAGAGGTTACAGATTAGAAAGAGATGAATCTAAGTATGCAGAAAGAAGAGAAAGAGTTTATACTTTTATGAAAACACCTAGAGAATATGAAAAGGTAGTCAAGATATTTAGTATATCATAAATTATAATCAAACTTGGTCAATATATATTCATCATTTGGACTTACCTGTTGCTAAAGAATACATTCTGTATAAAACACAGTGTATTCATTTAACTAAGTAATTATTAAAACACGCTTCTAATTGTGTTTTAAAAGTACTTAGTTTCATGGATTTTTACTTTATTTTTATGGATTTCTTGGATTATAGAGGGATTCTGCCGTATAGTTTTGACACCTGTTAAGTGCACTCGTGAACAAAGAGTCATTTTGATTAAGATCCCAAGAGGTATTATAGAGCAGAATTTGAAATATATATGGCTCAGAATTAAAATCTGAAGTCAGGTTCTCCTTCATTTCAACTAACTGTTGTCAATTTCATGATACAGTTGATATTCTTTCATGCAAATATAACATATTATAAACAATCTGAATATGGAATATATTAGAGGTTTTTTGTTGATTTGCATGAGTACTGAGCGCAAGATTTACATTCTGAAAAGTTGAAAATTAGCTCTAACATCTGGTTTTTAACATCTTTAAATGACTACTGGTATATCAGATTCTTTTGTGGTCATTGGTGGAAAAATTTGGCGCACATCAAATCAAATACAATTTGTGAAGAAAATTTACAGGGGCTATTATTTTCACTTTTTTATTCAACTAGTGCATTATACTCTTTATCCTTACCCAATCTATTTTCAGTTCTGTGCTTATGGATTCTTCCAGTGTGTGGATGCCTTCTTATTTCTTTTCACTTTCTTACCATTGAGAATTCTTATGGCCCTGATACGCTTGGTTACTCACCCTTGTGGCTTATTTTCATCTGGGTATGTTTTTTTCTGTATTTGTTGATATGATAATTGTTTTCCATGTTTCTATGTTTTTATCGAAGCTGCTTTTGTTTATACCATTCCAATTATTAAGTGATGAAAACTTAAAAGTGATGGAGTTTGAAATGGCATTTACAATAAACTGCAATTAACATCATAGAAGTTGATTTGTAGCTCCAACAGGCACACTTTTATTTTGTATTGATTCACTATTGCAATCCTATGTTAAGATTATAGATAAGCTTATTAAGTTGTACTTAAATGACTTTCAAGTTCATATTGAGTTGACATTTGATGAAAGGTTTTGTATTATAAATATTAAAAATCATTTAATCATTTGCCTGCACCTTTACTAGTTGGAAACTAAAAAGAAAGGCTATCACTGCTGCTGCTGTCCCTGCAGATGGTTTCACATGGCAGTGGTGTTGTCGTTCTGCATAAGTTCATGAACATTAAAACAAAAACCTATTTCTTTCAGTTCTAGAAGATATTTGGAATCAGCCCAGATCTGTGATTTATTAAAGGGACTGGTATTTGTTTCTTGTTGTTGTATTGTTAATTATATTGATACATCAATGATGTACCATTTGGTGAGAGGACAAGCGGTCATTAAGCTATATGTTTTACACAATATGTTAGATGTAAGTTTGATCATTATTTTAATCCTTAACCCAATTTTTCATTCTGTAAATTATTGGATTTTTTGCTTATTTACATATAGAAATTTTTTCAATGGTAAGGTTTGATTAAAGATTTTAGTTTATCAGCAATCCTAAATCCTTAATGTTTCTCTTGAACTTAGTTCTGATGTGCTACTACAATATCTTGAGGCTTTTAGTTAAGTACAAGATGAAGTTATAATTAAAATAATTGCTAATGTTATGCTCTACAGGTTGCAGATAAGCTTTTTTCTGGTTTTGGACAAGATATTTTAGATGCTATGTTTTGGACAGCTACAGAACCAAGAGACAGAAAGCGGGAACATGTTGGAACATTGCCCCATTTTCTTTTATCTATTATTTATGTTAGTATCCTTTTAAAAATTTAAGATGTATGGCTTTCTGAACAAAGAACTATTGATTGGAAATTATATTATTAGGGTATGTAAGATATTAAACAAGTTCTGGAAAAATGTACACGAAATTCAATGTATATATCACATACTTATGCTAATTTTTGATAAAATTTATTACAACTATCTACCTGTCAGTGATGCTGACAATTTTTGGGATTGGAAATTAACAAATATAATGTCTACTGTGCTTTTCCTTACTTAACAGTAGGAAATAAATTTAAATGCTGCTTATCTGGTTTAAGTTTTTCTTTTCTTTTCCTTATCTTTTACTGTAGTCATACATACACTCATTATATTGTTTCAAGCAGCAGTATTAAATGTGGCTTTCAACTCACATAATAAAGCATTAATGACAATAATGATGTCAAACAATGTAAGTACTAGCTATATAAGTTTGGAAACATATTAATTTATTGTTTGTTAGGTTTGATATTTCCTTGACACTTGTAAAACTATTTTGTCAGATGTAAAAACATCTCCTCCATCAGGGTATGGTCATCTAAATAAAATAAAAGAATTTGATGGACTCAAGTTACATGTAGTTGTATTTTCATGGTGTTTGTCTTAAGGTTACTGTCAAAGCATTCATGACTAGGAAATATTCACGATTAGCTTGAAGAAATGTTATTTTGAGACCTGGTATGTTTTTGTTTTTGTGTCGCTTCTAGGTCTTTTAATTCCATCTTGTTCTTGTAGTTTGTAGAAATCAAAGGAAACCTTTTCAAAAGATTAGACAGAAATCATTTATTTCATATATCATGTGGTGATATAAAGGAAAGATTTCACTGGGCATTATTATTGTCAATAGTCTTCATTAGAAATATGACAGAATTTTCATGGAACCCTGGTAAGAATAGACAACTTTTTTCAGATTCTATATCAATATGCCAACTGACAGCAAACTGATAGCATCAATTTTTAATATTCCATTGGATCAGAGTCATTATTCAGTAGTGCTATTATTCTAAATGCAAGATATATCAAGTACCAGATAAGCATATTGTTAATGTTGAATGTCTGAACTCTACTATTTTTTATAGATCATGTCTGGGTTATATTACCAGATGCCTTGTTAGTGTTTGTTGCTGAATTTGTTGTTGATTGGATTAAACATGCTTTTGTTACTAAATTTAATAAAATACCATCAGAGGTAGATATAAGTTAATTTCTTATCTTCTAATGTTTGAAGACTTTTCTTTAAAATAACCTCAAAGAAACCTCTTTTCTCACAATGCAGACACAATAGCAAGTGCAGAGAAAGAAAGCCAGTTGTCAGATGGATGCACATTGTAAGTAACAGTAACATCAAGTTTTAAACTCTTAAGGTCTTCAATAAGACACCCTTGCTGTTTATTCTGGTGTCTTAGAATTGCTTGATAGATATGAAGTAACATCTATGGATTACCTCAATATTATACTGTTTATATATATATTGTAGGTTTATCAAGAATTCACCTATAACTTAGCCACTGATATGATTTCAAGTAGACAAAAGTCTGTAAGTTGATATTTGAGAATTGTAATGACCATTGTGGAAGGAAACTGAATAGTAAGACTGTTGAATTATCTGTATTTGCTGGACATGTTAAATGGATAGTTCATATATTTGATTATCCCAAACAAACATCTGTCAAACTGCAAGAATAAGTTTGACAAGAATTTGTCAATCTACAACTCTACTGGTTTGGTTGCGAGTCAAAATTGTTTATCTATATCTCACCTGTTCATATTTTTCAGGCATTTACTGATCATTCTGACTTATTGTCCAGAAAAATGGGATTTACTCCAATACCATTGGGATGTTTATTAGTTAGAGTATGTAGTAAATCCTTTAAAATTAGTGGTATTTTAGGGATAGCTTTATTAATCATTCTTTACTGTTGGTAAGTATTTTATTTACAATAATAAGTAACATCATTATTTCTTCTGCTAAAATTCCCGAAAACACAGTTCTTGGGGTTTTAATTAAACAAGAATGTTTCCTTAAAATCACATAATATTAAGGATTTGAATTTTATGCTAAAGTGTCTATAGTTTTGAACTGTTGAATTTTTATGAAATGTAGTGTGGTTATTTAAAAAATAAAAGTCAAGTTAGAATTAAGGCAATTGGAATAATTAATTAGACTTATAATGTGTCTCTATTTGCATGTAATGATCAGCATAAAACATTTATATTTCAGCTTATTTACATCCAAAATATTAATCAGCATTGTCTTATTGGGTTATGGAACTAAATTATTGAGTGAAAATACTGATATGAAAGAAAAAAGTGATAACAGAGAAATAGACTCTCAAGTTATGCCAACAAAAGATAAACCAATCAGTAAAACTAAAAATAATAAGACTGTTAATGAAACTCAATGTGATGTACATACAGTTGGAGTCATAGATGTAGAACCACCTAGTCATTGTACAGACTTAAACAATAGTTCATCAAGTATGTCTGAACATTCTGAAAAATCACCAGAACCTACCAAAATCAGTGAAATTCAACATAAGAATATGATCAAAGTCCGTAGTTTATCTGGTGATTTAAAACGTAGAAGAAAATTAAGTGATAGATCTCGGAGTTTATCAGAGAGTAATACTGAACATGTTAAATATGAATTTAATTCTGATTATTATACCTGTCCTAGTCTACCTGACAATCCTTCCAGTTACTTGAGTGAAGATAAAAAATTAAGGTGAAGATAGTATCTTATCTTCTGTGAATGATTGTGCTGTCAGATTGTTGGTCGAGTAAATGGAAAAGACTTTTTAAAACAGTGAATAATCTCATTTCTTGACTGCTATTGTTTGTTTTTGTATTGTAATAGACCATGGTACTGCTTAGACATTGTGGAGCATTTCAAAACCATCATGATATACAGCATCATCAGAATGAACTCTTTATTAATAAATATCATTCCATTTTCATTTAGAATAACAGGAGTATTGAATAACCATGATACAACTACTAGTAAATTGATGTACTTGCTTAATCTAGCATCTCAATTTCAGCTTTCTGTTGCATTATTCAGCATGAAAATGTTGAATTTTAATTAAATAAACTAATTTAAGTTAACAGGCCGTTATCACTTATAATTGTCAACAGCAATTTGTAAATGAGCGCACTTCTGATTTTCATTTTGAAAATTACGTCAGACAGCTGAGGTTGAGTTATAAATGAATATATAGACACTACGTGTATGCATTGTTTACTTCCATCATATGGTTTCGTTCTCTTTTTTTTTGCGATTTCAGATAAAAATAATTATACAACTATTAAGGTTAATTAATTTTGTCGTTGCCACTGTCCGTCTGTCCCTCCGTTCATCCATCCATCCATATTTCTTGTATGCACTATTGAAGCTTCAGTTTTTTTTATCTAATCTTGATGAAACTTGGTATGCATGTATATATTGATAAGATCTTGGTCAAGTTAGAAATTATGATCAATGGTTTCAGAGTTATTGCCCTTGACTACAGTTTGGCTTGTAGGCACAATATTCCTTCCCCAACTCTGGATCTCCTCTTCTGTAGGCTGATGGTTTTTCTCGGGCAGCTTTTGATGAAATTCTGTACTTTTCTGGTGGTGGTCTTTGTTGACCTCCATGTCTTGGAGCTCCAAATATTCTATAGCTGCAAGTATGTTGATTATTCTTGATCTGGCGGCCGCGTCTGTGCTATAATTCTTGTCATTGATGCTCACTAGATATTAAGACATCTACTTCTTCCAGCTCGGTGTCATGCAATGTGACTGGCTTTTGTGTTGATCTTAAGAATCTTGGCTTGCACTTTTAAAACCATCTGTTGGTGGTTCTGGGAAAACAGGGCTAGGTCGTTTCCAGTTGCTCCCATAATGTCCACCTGGTTCGATCAATTTTGTGTTGACCTCTTCATGTTACGCGCAATCACTAAGAGGTAGAGAAGGGTGATAGGAGACAACTTTTTCTAACTGAAATCTTAAGCTGTCTGTCCACAACTCGACAGGTCATTCTGGATTAAGCTGTTCAGTTCCGTTGGCGCCTCATGATGGCATAGCAACTGTCAGATAGTTTCTTGGTCAACGCTTCGATAGTTGAATAAGTTGATGTACAGCGATGCGATTCATTTCAAACACAGCTCAACGATAATGCGCTATGTTGCAATCTGGTTGATGTTATATCTGTTCTGACGGAAGCTCGCTTGCTAATCTTAGAGAAAGAGACCGAAGGAACGTTTCAGGGATTCTGTTGAAGACCTTTTCCCACCTCTGTAGTTAGCATACATCCTCAACTTCAAACTCATGGTAGACTTATCAAGCACCAAACGCATTCTAATTGTTTTCTAATATGGTACACTGAAAGCGACATCAAACCGCATTCAATTTGGTAGAGTCACAACTCACAATGGTTGGTAATTTGGTCACAGTAATACGGGCACACGGTCATTTGGTCACAGTAATACGGGCACAAGGTATTTTGGTCACAGTTATAGGACACAAGGTAATTCGGTCATAGTTAAAAGGGGACAAGGTAATTCGGTCATAGTTATAAGGGGACAAGGTAATTCGGTCATAGTTATAAGGGGACGAGGTAATTTGGTCATAGTAATAAAGGAACAAGGTAATTCGGTCATAGTTTTAAGGGGACAAGGTAATTTGGTCACATCAATGAGGGCACACGCTCGAGACACTGAGTCGTCCTGGAACTACCGGTCATTTGCGGACATTACTAGCAGCAACACGAACAAACAAATACACGTGAATCAATAGCATTTTTACGTATGCCGTAGAACAGAAGCGAATGTGTAAATTGCTACTGCCCATGTCTGAAAAATACATTGTGATCATAGCGTCATAAGACGGTCACACTCGCCATCGGAAATCGCGATGGATAACCCGCTTCGGTTTGAAGAGGGGTTTCGTTAGAGCGATATGAGATCGGTTCAAAGCGGTATCAGTGTGACGTGCTGATGCGCCTTCCGGGCCACTATAATAATAATAATATCTTTATTTTGGGACGAGGGCCATAGGCCCATTATACATTACATGGATATACATTTATATTAATACATGATAACTGAATCAACATGTAATATACTTTAAGACAATAAATATATAAGTATATCTCCGACAGGATTCATAATCTCTCAGTAGAAAAGAACTAAATTATTTTTTTCTTGCTTAAAAACACAAACTTGGCTAAATAATTTATAACAGTATCATTGGTAGTTTGAAGCAAAGTATAAAATTTTCCAAATGTTGGGTATTTAATAAAGAACGATGGAATTAGTTTTACTCTAAGGTCGTAATAAGGACAGTCCATACAGAAATGGTATTCTGTTTCTATACTTGGGCGGATGCAGAGAGGGCAAAATCTTTCATGTCTCTCTAAGTTGAGTTGTCTCCCTTTTTCGATCATAAGGACTCACTCCACTAATTCATTTGCCATCTCTTCCCATGTTAAAACACGAAATTCAACCTTCTATAACTTTTTCCAGAAATCTCGTTGAAAGCTTTCCAATATATCGAATGAAAGCCTGACCAATTCTCAATGTCTCCTAAAAAATTCATTATATGATGACCATGAAAATTTTGAGCTACTAAAATTGAAAGTAGACTACTACCGGTTATACTCATCAGCTAGAGTTTGGCACTTCACAAAACGACTATTTTTAGAATTAGCCTTCCGCCTTTAAGTCTCTCATCATCTCACCAAATCTGAAAGATAATGCAATTTCAGACATCAAATTCCAAATCTAGACCAAATTTTACCCAAAAATAGGCAGGCAAAAACCCCAAAAGGGAGAGAGAAAGAAGATTTCTAAAAATAGCCTGGATACAATCATTTGCATAAAATGTTTTAGTGGAGTGAGTCCATAAAAGATCATGGACATCTTAACTTTTGAAAGCAATGCGATATGGCTTACAATGTACACAATTTAAATAATTGCGTGGCAAATCTATCGATTTGTCACGCTTTGTTTTCGTTATGTTTTTTTTTTTTTTTTTTACTTTTTTTTTTGGGAACGTCCCTAGACAAAATCGAAAATGGTATAGCATAATTGTCTTCACCAAACATTCTTAAATGACCTGGAACCAAAAATGAATATCTAAAACTCAATTTTTGCTAAACCGGAAGTGTGCCATTGCATAATGTGCGAATATTTTGCATCAAGTCTGTAGGGCATATTTATGAACCGATTTACACACCATGTGACCTTGACCTTCGATGACCTTGAAAATTTCACTGTAGGATGTTCTTGACCTCAGCTATCCACAGGTGTACTGATATTGGTTGAAAAATATTAACTTCCGGTTTAATAGCCATTCAAAAATTAACATTTTTGACAACTTTGGACTGCTGTATGACCTTTTCTAATAAACACATTAAATTATTTTTTTCAATTTTGTAATTCCCTTTTGATTATCTTTTCAATGATATATGACAATAATACATTAAAATATGTTTTAAAAATATTGGGGTTTAATTAACTCCTAGCAATATGGTTTGTATATTCAGGATCTACTCAATTTTCTCTTTTCAACGATATGTGACATGGGTGGTTTAATACAAAATTGAATTTGTGAAAATAGGCATAAAAGTGTTAAATGTTTATAAAAATATGTAGATTGTGGGGATTAAAATGATTGACAGGTGTTATAACAGGTTATATAATATGATAGGAAAGCTATCCATATGAACTTTTGACATGCAGGTGTGAAGTAGTTTGGGTCATAAACAAATTAATCTGATTATGTAATCTTTTAACACTTAAAAAAATAACTTTCACGTACAATAATTTAACATACACTCATATAGAGTAGTGAATTTTTGATACATTAACCTGTTCGAAGAAGTTCCTAAAATTGGTGTTAGGGTGTATTGAGACGAGTCTCAATGAAAGCACTGGCTTAGAAATAGATTAATTTATTGATATACGTTTTGTGTATACATGGGGAAATTTGTTCTGAAGTTCCGAGTAATGGCGTTTGACTATTATGGAGGCTTTGGTAGCTGTAGAATCAAATGTCGTTATAAAGGGTATTACCTGGTTATCATGTTGAATGTTGAGTCCATTTGGCCTCACAGTCTGCAGTTGATCGATCCAATAACTTTCGCGTTGTAGACGTCTAAGCTTAGGTTTCATGCTAGGTGATGTAGAAACCGTTGTACATCGCATTTTTTTACAAGAAATTAGGTATATGATATTTTGATCTCCGCAAGAAATTAGGTTATTCATCGCAAACAATTTTCCGTTCTTGTTATTTTTGAAAAAATGGGTAACATGTATGTGTTCGCATGTGCGACAAGTAGGACCTCCACAGGGAAATGAACCGAATCCAATAAAAGGTGGAGAGGGGTCTTCTTTTCTCAAAATGTCTGAAAGCGTGTCATTCTTAATTTTTCGAAGAAACCTTTTGGAATAACCCCTCTCCCTTAATTTGTCAAAAACTAGTTTACAGGCGGATTCAAAATCAGCCTGCTGGGTGCAAATTCTATGAAATCTTAGAATTTGAGATTTAATTATTCCAGAAAATGTGTGCTTCGGGTGGAACGAGCTTTTGTATAAAAGTTGGTGGGTATCAGTTTCCTTAAAAAATACTTTAATGTCTAATTTTTTAGAAGAAAGAAAGTTGTTGCCTTTGAACACCGTGGTGTCCAAAAAATCCATGCTGTTTTCGCTGATATTTGCTGTCAATTTCACGGAAGGGTGGTGGTTGTTTAAAATTTCGAAATATTTCCAGAAATGTTCTAGAGTATCGGACCAAATGATAAAAATATCGTCAAGAAACCGGCCATAAAATAAAGGTTTAAACGGTGAGATATTTTCTATCTCCCTAACCCACTCGGCCATAAATATATTCGCATAACTAGGGGCAAATCGTTTGCCCATAGCAGTTCCAGATGTTTGTAAATATATTTTTCCATTAAAAAAGAAGTCATTGCGCGTTAAACATAGTTTAAGTAAATCTAAAATCTCTGTATCAGGTCGATCAGAACATGGATATCGAACAAATGCCTTACGGACGGCGTCAAGACCAACATTGTTGTCAATGTTGGTATACATACTGGTTACGTCCAAAGAAATGAAATACGCGTTTTCGGGAATGTCCAATTTCTTTATTTTTTCAACAAAATCGGTTGTGTCTTTCAGATAAGAAGGGTGTTGGCATGCTAGTGGCAGTAAAAAGTAATCTATGTATTCTGAAACTCGGTATGATTCGCTAGAACAATCAGAAATGATTGGTCTACCTTTAGGAATTTTGTTGGCAACGGACCACTCAGTTTCGGGATTTTTATGAATTTTCGGAAGCGTGTAAATGTGTCGTTGGCGAGGCTCAGTGGACGCGGAAAGGTAGTCATATTGCTTTTCTGAAATAAATTTCTTTTTTACCAAATTTTGTAGAATATTTTATTTCTCCCAGTTTCCATAAAAATAGGTGTATCAAGTTGGCGATAGTGATTTGGATTGTTCAACTGTTTATCAATTTCAAAAATGTAGTCATCGCGATTTTGAATGACGCAGCAACTGCCTTTGTCACTTTTCCTGATGATAGTGTTTTTGTCATTTTTTAGATTATTGAGAGATTTTCGTTCAAAATTGGTAAGATTGTTTTTCTCATTCACCAAAGGCAAATGAGAAATTTCTTCATATAAATTGTCGCATATAGTTAAAATATCTTGGTCAATCGCATTATCTGGTGGATTCCAGCCAGATCTATCCGTAAATTTGATTCGTTTACCGCGGCCAAGTTTTTCGAGAAAGTAATAATTCAATTTAAATGTTCTCTGAACTTCAGTTACCGACGTCAAAATTGGTTCAATCGAAAATGGTTTATGGGTGGGTATGAAGGTTAACCCTTTGTCCAGAAGTCTTTCTTCAAGGGGAGAAAGTATTCGTGAACTTAAATTGACAACAGTTTGTCCTAATTTTGGAATATTTCCCCCCGCGTTTAGTTTAAATGGGAGACCCAATTTAAATATACAGATTTGGCAGTGGGGGCCGTCCAGTGAAGGAGATCTAAATGGTTTACCTCGATCATTCCATTGAATCGCGGCATAGTCTTTGCAAACGGAGATGGCTTATGAAAAAGAAGGTCTTGAATTTTCGTAAGTTGGCGGCTAAATTTGGTCTCTGGCGTTGGAGGATCTGGTATCTGGGTGGCGAATACGTTGGCTGATGGGAATTTGGTTTTGGCGAGGGATAACAATTCCAGCATCTGTCTGTGGATGGATTCACCTGGTTCATTCTTGTTGTTGAGGCCAATATGGAGAAGGACTTTGGATGGTATTGATGTTGGATTAATCTTTGTAAGGATATCGATGATGTGGTTAATTTTGGCTCCGGGATAAGATTCAGCTTGGGTGTCCTGGTTGACCTCTGGAATTCGGGAAATATTTGAAGATCCTATGATAATGGTTGGTTTGGTTACTTCAGGGAGTGTCCATGTTGATTTGTTCTTGTTACAATCATGACGACGAGGATGGTTTGGTGATTTAGAACCTAAGCTTAGACGTCGACGGAAAGTAGAATTGGTTGATGATCTTGGAGTTTCGGGGTTGGATCTAGGTCTTGATGGGGTAGCAGGTGAACTTGTAGGTAGAGGTCTAACAGAATTGGAGATTGGAGTAAAAGGGGAGGTTGGTAAATTGGTGGTATTGGTTCTTTTGCTTGGAGTTGGTTGTGGGTAAGTAGAAGTACTAGGTAAGGAAGTAGGTGATCTCTGTCGCTTTTGGGAGGATGCTATTGGTTGGTTGGTAGGTGGTTGAGCACGTTTAGGTGGAGAAGCTGGAGGGTCAACTATCATATCTGCATCAATACCAGAAGTCGAAATAGGGTCAGAATTTTTTAAAACCACCAATATTTGCGAGTATTTTTCAAGAGTTTGATTTTGGAGTCGCTTATAAGACTTTTTTGCCCAATTGATCGCTTCTTTAGAGTATTGATTAAAATTTTGTTCAGAGAGGTTGCGTGACTTTATCATAGTAATTTTGTCAGCAAGCATTGAATCATAATGATTCTTTAGAGGTGTTAGTTAGGCTGAGGGAATAAAAGCAAACAGCGGGCTGTCTCTATCAAACACTGACCGTGGAATCAGAATACAGAGCAGGATTCTAACCCGCAGCACAGCACTTAATCGTATAGCAGACACCAAATCAACTGGCTTCCGACTGCGCTAATCCTTAGCAATAAAAAGAAAGTGGCAATTTTATCTTCTGCTAAGATTATTATAGGTCATAAATAAATTAATCTAATTACACTATCTTTCAACTCTATAATAATTCACATTTTTTTTAATTTTTTGCAAAAATGCCCGAATTCTGTGTCCATCAGTGCTCTAGATTATTCAAAAGATGTTAGAACCATTAAAATGACGCTTAAAACCACATGTTGTTAAAGTGACTGATAGTGGGTTCCTTAAAAATAGGTGTAGGGTCAAAAGTTATGTTAGTAATTAATTTAAATGTTTCTACTGGCTTGATAAATGGAGGTTTTGGTCAAGTAACATTCATTCAAACTGATCAGCATAATTAAACTGACAAAATTTTGTAAAATTTGATAATGCTAAAGTTGGAATAAATGAAGACAGTGTTCCACTTCCGCCAAATGTACCACGTGGTAGTATTGGTATTGAGAGATATGAAAGCCCTCGTGTTAACTATAAGGGCGATGTTAGACGCCAGTTCCCATTACGTCTCGCCTAAGCAGTTACTATTCACAAAGTACAAAGTCTAAGTCTCGATAGCGGTGTTATATCACTTCATAAAATATTCCAAGCTGGTCAAGCCTATGTTGCGTTAAGCAGAGTTCAAACTTTACAGGGTCTTACAATACAAGATTTTACGGAAAAAAAACATATATTGTGATGAAAAAATTGAATCGGCATTAGGAGCAATGGGTACTTTTTTAAAACCCGAAAACGAGACCATATCAACTGATACTAATATAATTTTACTCAATGTTCAGGGTTTATCTATTCATATAGAGGATTTACAGAAACACAGGAAAATGCTAGAAGGTGATATCATTTGTTTAACATGACTAAATAATTCAATAACTCAGCAAAACTAAAGTTAAATGTCTTCACCACCATCCTCGAAGCAGCAGCTATGATGACACTAGAGATTTCAAATTTTTGAAAGAAAAGGGGCACGGAGGAGTAGGAGTATATTATAAGCAAAACAAAAATGTCAACATTTTAAAATTGGGAGTTTTAAATATAGACCACCCGTTTATCGATTAGATTTATTTCTCCCAATGTTAGAAAGATTGAATTACAAGAATCTGGTTCAGACTATGTTATTATGGAGGATTTCAACCAAAATATCTTGGTTGGTCAATTGTCTATACTAAATCGTTTTCAAAAATTTGGTTTTCAACAACTTGTTCAGCATTACACTACTGAAGGTGGGACACTTATAGATCATGTTTATATCAGTAAAGAAATTCCGTCAGATAATGTTCACATTTCACACATACCTGTATATTATAGCTACCATGAAGCTATTAAAATAGCCATACGATAAGTTATATTGATACAAGATTGAATTTATCCTTTAACAAAACATTTCATTTAGCTTGGCTAATTCTGTCTATCTATATCAATACATCTTTGTTTATTTTGTCTAAGAAAGTAATTTCCATCCCCCACACTCTGCGTCTTCCAAACAAAGCCAATACCAGGCTCATAAAGCAGTTGTTTTACCCAATATGACCAAAAATAGATATCTTTTTCAGCTAAATCATATTTATATTTGTAGACGTGAGAATAATTTATTGTCAGTCTGGCTTAATAGTCTTGTCCAGTACCTAATTAGTTTATAGTTTGTGTACCCTTAACGAATATCGACCTGATTCACCTCTAGCTACAATATTTGGTGAATTTCTAACTAAGTGTAAGATAGTCTTACAAAATCTACCATGAATACGTATAACATCATGTGACGAATGAAATGTCCATACTTCACACCCATATGTCAAAATTGGTAGTATTTTACTATCAATATATATGTAGTTAAGCATTAAAAGGTAAATTGCTAAAATTTCTAATATTTGCTTTCAATAACAATAGTACTTTGGAGGCCTGTTGTGATAATCTTTTGTGCTACATACCATGAGCACCAACTAGACAAGTGTACCCCAAGATATTTAGACGTGGATGCAGATTCCAACTGACTTCCGTTAAGATAGAACTTTTTCGATTGTTTCAGTTTACCACCTTTCCTGAACACTATTATCTTACTTTTGCTCGTATTTATGTTTAATTGCCACTTGGCACAACAGGCCTCCAGAGCTCTTAGTCGGATTTGTAGCCCCCGTACAGTAATATCAAATAATATGATGTCATCTGCAAATATGAGCATGACTAATTATATTGTGCCAATACTAATACCTCTTGAATCATTATTAACAAGCTCATCAACAAGATTGTTGATGAAAAATAAAAATAAAAACGGAGACAACTGGCATCCTTGGCGGACACCATAGTAACAATCAAAGAAATCAGTTCTCCCTCCTTGCAACCTTACACATGCCTTGACATCCTTATACACATTCTTGATAAGCCTAAACGTTCGACACTTGATTTTGTTGTTCCATAGCTTATACAATAATGACAATCTGCTCACAGTATCGAATGCCGCTTTAAGATTAATTAGGGCACAGTGAAGTTACCCTTACAAATTGAGACAATATTATTTATAATGTTATCTAAGATAAACAAATTGTCGATAGTTTGGAAGCCTGGTGGATTTTCGACTTGTTGGGTCGCAGGAAAAACGAACCGTAGGGGCCTAATTTCTCACTTTTGGGAGGGGGCATGGTGTGATTACAATTTTATGGTAGGAAGTTTGCGATCTTTTTTTTTTCGGGAACAGATCAATCAGCTCATCAGCATACATCGTATGTGCGATATCGGCATTCATCACCATAAGGCTCAAACCATTTAGTCGATTCTCACACATCACGCTCCAAGTAGGACAATTTTGGATGGGCCTGCGGAAATTTATTAACTGTGTGATAATTTTTACTGTCATGGGCCGAATTTCCCATAGGCCGAAAGGCAGCTGCCTTGTTTACCTTTAGGTTAATCTGCACATGGTGAAACAAACCTCGTGATGTGAAAAACTCTGACAAACAAGTTGTGATTTCGCAGACTCGCGCCTTCCGTGCATAGAGTCGTGATTCGCCCGATATCTCAAACCATTACAACCTCTATCATAGCTGTTTGAACAGATGTCAGCTGGTGAAGAGACAGAAAAAATAAGCCATCTTAGAGGGACAGATTCGGTATTATTTAGCTTAGCAATCAGTAATAGTGTTCACAGCTCACCGTTGAAATTTGAGCCTTTAAATCCATGTGTCCAGAATTATCCGCTTTTGAAAGTTAACTCGTCAATTTAGGATACTCTGTGATATATAGAAAAGACATACATTGTATATAGAAATAGTAAGTAAAAATTCCTAGTCCTAGTTAAAAGAAATATGGGATTTTTGTATATTTGTAGTACTTCTGAAGACTATTCACATATATTCAAGGCTAAAATACTCCCCTCCCCTCCATTTGCCTCATCTGTCCCTTCAAATGGGGACATTCCGCATCTCAGCAGGTGCTGCGGTTTTAAGCATAAGATATCCATATGGTTTTAAAGATGGGTTCCCTTATTTTCATTTTAGAAAGTAGAGGTGTTCCAATGACTTGGTAAAAAATCAAGTTTGTCTCACATGTCCACAATTAAATGATAATTAGCTAAATTAGAAGAAAATTACCAACAGAATTCGGATGAATGACCGATCAGGAAATGTCAAAAAAAGTCTTTTTTGTTTATCCAGACTGTACAAATATGAACATTTATGATTGGTTAAAACTAATATTATCATATGCAATAAGAACATAATGATATGATTAAGAATACATGATAATTCATTAGAAACACCAATTAATCAAATAGTTTGCTTAATTTGCCAACTTTAAACCTATTTGGATATTTCGGATCCGCCACACCCCGATATGTTCGGAAAGATAGATATTTTTGAAGTTCGTAAATAGGTTTAAAACCACCCACACCTGCAGAGATGCAGAATGTCTCCATTTAAGAAGACTTATTTGTCTGTCTCTTTACAAGCTGACATCTGTCAAAATTGCTATTACGGGCTCGAATGGAGACAGATGTTTCGGTCTACGAGAAATATATGCAATGAGAAAAAACTGTCATACTGAAGCAGGCTGCATTAAAAAGTTAGAATGTTTTTATTACGTATGATGAAACGAAACAATAAATAAATCTTGTTCTTTTTTAATATGCAAAAGTTTAGCGATCCCACTGTGACGAGTTTGAACGTGGATTAAAGTAAGCCCACTATGATATTTTTTTTTTTAGATTTTACTTTTGAGTAGAGATAATATCAGCGACTTCATTTCTGACTTTCTGTTGTTAAATGGACCTAGTCATAGATCTGTAGAATGCGAGTTGCATAGCCTATTAGACCTAAATTTAAATTTCCTCGAATTTTAAGTTAAAATTGTCAGTAAAAGCTCTTACCTAATCCACTAGAGCTTTTTCTGACAATATTAGACATGCGTAGAGGCAGAAAATCTAGATGCTCCACTTTTAATGCAATGTTACAATACTTAAAATTCGAAGAAATTCAAATTTAGGTCATATAGGCTATGCCTACAGATCTATGACTAGGTGTATTGAAATGTCTAAATGATTTGTAGTCCGAGATGTACGCTGGAATGTGAAACGATTGTATGATTTTCTATGTATATTTTCTCGAGTAAATCACATGAAATCTGTAGTTCAGTTCTATTGTGTTTATGAACAAATTTTGAAGCATTTTTTCTAAGTCAAGAACTTACCTCAAAGATAGCTTGCGTTGCAAGGTAACATACGCCAACTGCCACTGGCAGCTGTCAGAAATAATAAAACAGTCTTTAGTGACTAAAGTACGAATTTTCTCATATTGAAGAAATTATTTATGCTGAATAATTCCACAAAATTTTTTAAAATCAATATCAATAACCCAAATACAACAAACAATTAAATCACACAGCTCTAATTAAGGGCAAAAAACAATTTTTGACGCGTGTTTACAAAGTCAAGGGCAATAACTCAAAAAATGTTCATCAAAAATATCTCTTGTTAGAACTTGTCCGATATCTTATCAATTCCAATGATCACACCAAGTTTCACCAGAATCGGTTGAAAACTGTAGCTTCTATTGTGCTCACAAACAAATTTTGACGGTTTTTTGTAAGTTAATGGCATTAATTCAAAAACATTTCATCGAAAATGCGTCAAGTTAGAACTTGTCCGAGATCTTATCAATTTCAATGATCACACCAAGTTTCATCAGAATCGGTTGAAAACTGTAGCTTCAATCCTGCTCACGAACTATTTTTAACAAATATTGAAGCGTTTTCACAAAGTCAAGGGCAATAACTCAAAAACCGTTCATCGAAAATGCGTCAAATTAGAACTTGTCGGAGAACTTATCAATTCCAATGATCACACCAAGTTTCATCAGAATCGGTTGAAAACTGTAGCGTCAATCCTGCTCACGAACTATTTTTAACAAATTTTGACGCGTTTTTACAAAGTCAAGGGCAATAACTCAAAAACTGTTCATCGAAAATGCGTCAAATTAGAACTTGTCCGAGATCTTATCAATCTAAAGCATCACACCAAGTTTTATCAAAATCAGATAAAAACTGTAGTCTCTGTAGTGCTCACAAGAAATGTTGACGGACGGACCGACGGACAGGGGCGACAATATACGACCACATATTCATGTGGGCGTATAAAAACCGTTCATCAAAATATCATCAAAAAATCGTCAAATTCAAACTTGACCAAGATCTCATCAATATACCTCAACACATCAAGTTTCATTAAAATCAGTTGAAAACTGAATTCTCTGTTGTGTTCACAGACAAATTTTGACACGTTTTTCATAAGTCAAGGGCAATAACTCAAAAACCGTTCATCGAAATATCGTCAAATATTAATCACAAATTTCATTCAAGTCAGTTAAGAACTGTAGACCCTATTAAGTTCACAAACAAATTATGACACGTTTTTTATTTGTCAAGGACAATAACTCAAAAGACGTTTATCGAAAAATCGTCAAATTCCAACTTGACCCAGATCTCACCAATATACCTCATCACATCAAGTTTCATTAAAAATCAGTTGAAAACTGTAGTCTCTATTGTGTTCAGAAACAAATGTGGATGCGATTGTCCTAAACTCAACAAGTGGTTGCCTAGCATGATAGCCTACGCCCACTTTACTGATACATTTTTAGTATATCAAGGGCAGTCACATCTGTGTCAAATCATACCATGAATCTAATTTGTGCAAGACATTGTTGATTTAAACAAACACACATTATTTAATATAATTCTGACATTGACTGTCACCTCTATCGCAATCAAATTTTAAAACCCGTTCATCAGACAATCAGATAAAAACTGTAGTCTATATTGTATTCACAAGAAATGTTGACGGTTGAAAACATGTTCCTTCAGCAACGGCTTATTATATAATTATTTATGCCCAGTTTTTCCGCAATATTTTTATTTAATCGAAAGCAATAATCCAAACAAATTATCAAATCACGTGGCTCATTCATTTTTTATGACAATAAAGGGCAATAACTCAAAAAACCTTCATCGAAAGATCATCAAATTCATACTAGTCCAAGATGTCATTCCTAAAAATGATCCAAATAAATTTCAAATGAAGTCTTCATTGTATTCACAAGAAATGTTGACAGACGGACCATCGCGCGGACAGGGGTGACAGCAATATACGTCCACATTTCCATGTGGCCGTATAAAAATCAAAACATAATTATCAACAATGAACATGATGTAGACATAAAGAAAGGTGAACCAAGATGTGTGAGCAACATAATGTTTTAACTCAACAGAAAATTATGGCAGGTAGATTTCCAAAATTAACATTCTTATATAGTAATATCAGACACAATCTTAATTGACCACCGTAAACATCACTACACCAGATAAAATGGTTGATTTTTAGAGAAGATGCAAACATTTCAACTAAGCATTAAAATCATATGTATATGTATTTTTGTTTCCGTAGGAAGTCACTTGCTCAAGTTTAAACAAGTGGTTGCCTAGCACGATACACCCACATTCCCGATAATTTTTTAGTATATCAAAAGCAGTCGCCAAACTGTGTCAAATCATATCAAAAATATCCTTTGTACAAGATATTGTTGATTCAACACATAAAATTTAGAAATAAACTGCCAACAAATTTTGATGCATTTATACTAAGTCAAGGGCAATAACTCAAATTCCATGTATTGAAAAATAGTCAAATCAAACTTGACGAAGATGTCATTGAAATAAATGATCACACCAGATTTCATTAAAATCAGATGAAAACTGTAGTCTCTATAGTGTCCACAAACAAATTTTGACGAGTTTTTACTAAGTCAAGGGCAATAACTCGATAACTGTTCATTGAAAAATTATTAAATTCAAACTTGACCAAGATCTCATCATGATAAAATAATGACCAAACCAAATTTCATTCAAATTGGATGAAAACTGTCGTCTTTAATACGCTCAAAATAAAAATATTTTCACGTGTTTTTCCTTAGTCATGGGTAATAACTCAAAAACGTCCATTAAAAAACTTTGAACAAAATTGTGGACGGACGGACAGGGGCGACGACAATATAAGACCCCACTATAATGTGGGCGTATAAAAATGAGTCACACAAGTTTGCGATACACATCTGTTCTGAGGCCCTATTCTCTGAAAACTGAACTTTATAAATACAGTAATGTGATTGAATAACAAAACTTAATTTAATATCAATTTTAGTGATTGACCAATCAGATGACTGGAACCCTAAATTCATTTTAATTCAGATAAGTTTTCAAGAATAAGGCCCAAGGTTTGCATATTATTGTACAGTATCGAGTATCAACACAAAACAACGCGAAAAGATCCCCATAGAATGGCATGTTGTATCAAACCGTATCAATTTACTGTAACATGTATCAATTTAATGTTATTGTTAAAGGATACTACCTCTTAAACTTTTAAACTTGGTCAACAAGGGTACATTTATTATCAGCTGGACTTACCAGGTTCCTTGATATAGCAAAATGTGTCCATTAAATAAGTAATTATTGAAACACGCTCATAAGCATGTTCAAAAATTACTTAGTTTTATGAATCATTTCCCAGTTTTATGGATTAAAAAATTTTTGGTGTAATTCTAAAAGGTAGATTACCTTTAACGCATGTGAATAGTCTTCATTAGTCAAATCAAAAAAGTACAAAAAACATTGGACGTAGATACCCGACGCCTCACTTGATAAACAATAACACAATTTCTTATCGGTATATTTTTCGGTTCATTTCACACTGCCAAATAACTAGATTGAATTAGATAAAGACCAAATCAGCCAGTGTGAAAACAGTTATTCAGAAGAACTGAAAGAGTATATCAAATCTATCAAGGTCAGCGTTTCCTAATCCTCTCCCCAAAGGCGAACCGCCCCTGCCATCCCACCAAGTCCTTTGAGACTTGATATTTGCGAACTGAAAAGCACGTTTTTCTGATGCAGGCTGCAATAAAAAGTTGTAATGTTTTCATTACGTATGACGAAAGGAAATAATAAAGAAATCTTGTGCAGCCATCCCACTGTGACGAGTTTGAACGTGAATTATAGTTATTTTTTGCTGTATATTTTTCAAACAATAGCTTTGCTCTGTAAATACCTGAAACTGACACATGAAAACAACAGTCTTGTAAGACAAATCAAGTGTCAGACTTTTCTTTTTGGATTATGCCATTAAAAAACAAATACAAAATATGAACATGAAAAACTCCAATACAAATTTCAAAACTCTGTAACATATAACAAAATGGGAAAATATCTAAAAACAGTCTTGGCTTTGAGCTATAAAAAATATGTTTCAGACAAACATGTTAGCATAATACAATTTTGTTGAGCTGCGGGTGTTAATTCTGGATTAAGATGCTGTAGATGTCTGTAAAATTCCATTGCCCTCTCTGGAAGTGTTTCCAAAGCAATTTTATCAACATCATCGAGGTTCTTCTGAAAAATCCGTTGGTGTAATGGATCATGTAGACATCCTTTAAAAACAAAGCAATGAATTAAGGAATTGAAAGTTTTCAAGGACAGAGGCATCAGTAACAAATCAGTTTTTTTCTTTTATGTCAGAAATTTATATTGAAATCCTATTCAGCCCCAGCAGCTAGCAGTCCTGCTGCAATTTGGTGTCTGCACAGACTTTGTTATTTGTTTAAGCACATTTATTGAATGGATAGCATCAGGATACATAAGACTTAATCTTTAAGGCTTTAATCTTTTATATTCTTGTCCAGATCATCCATATTAGTTGTGTAATTTAAATGGATAGAAAGCGGGTAGGGTAGCTAAATATGTTTTTTGTTTAAAATTTATATAAACAAAATATGAGAGCACAGCTTATAGACATGTTTGTCTGATTTTGACATATCAAAAATATAATCAAGTTTCTATAAGAATCAACAAAAAAATGAAATGTATTAATCTGAATCAAAATCATAAAAACAGTTAGTAGCTTCTATTGCGTTAAAAAATCACGAAAAGTAAGGCTGACAGAAGGCATACAAAAATAATTATTTTATCATTGAATATATAAATCTCATATTTGTTTCAAATGTCTAATAACCACATATGTACGATATTGATTGGCAAATTCAGTGACACAGTGATGATGTAGAACAAATGTATGCATACTAAAAAAACCATCTTAAATGCAAATTTATAGTTTTGAAAGGGTTAATCAGGATTTAAAGTAACCAGGTCTAATTCCAGATGATCGGCTAACAGTCAATTTTATTAAGAAAGAAGGCATTTTTGACAGAAATTCGTCGCTTTATGAGTTTTTAAGCTCTTTTTTTCTAGTACATAAACATCTAAAACCTGTGTTTAAAATAATTGAATAGTCGAGATATAAAAATCGCATGAACTCTGTTAAGCTGTTGAATCAGTGAAAATCTGTTCGAAACCTTTGCAATGAGTGACAATGGTGCTATTCGTTATTAAATTTCGGTATTTCTGTAGTTATTTTAACCTTATGTCTGCTTGGTTGATCTGTAGATTTTTTACCAACAATTCGCCAAGAATTGGTCCAAACTAGGTCAAATCTTTGGCAGTTTCTGCAGTCTAGTTTATGCTGCGTTACAGCTGCTAAAGTAACTTTTGTTTTCTTGTTTTTTCTGTCTTGAGGGAATAACAAAGATTAACCAGAATGTTATTGCCAAAAATTAACGTTTCGTAAAAAATCACTAACCTTTTCAACACTACAGATTTGATGCGAAAAAAAAAAAAAAAATAGCAAAAATTTCACTTTTGTTTCACTTACTTTTATTACAATTTAAGAAACTCTTGGCAGCATAGTAAACCAACAGACTCAATTCTTCAACACTTTCTGGTGTATAATCACTAACTACATTACCATTTCCATGAAATTCTCCATTATTAGGCGATTGTGGAGGGGTACATAATGGACTTCTTGGAGGACGAGCACTAAAATAACCATCTTTTAATCTGGTAAAGGATAATGGGAAATTAGTTGGTGTGGGCACTATACCCTCACAATAGTCCTCCATAACTCTCTGAATAAGTTTTAACCGTAATAGGTCTGAACACACTAAATGTATCAAAATTTTCTTTTGTTTTAAATCTGATGCATAAATATATGTTTTTTCCAGTTCTGAAGCTATCCTTCTAGATGCATCAAGACAATTTTTACTGATGTCAATACCTATCTCTAACAGTCTGTTTAAATCTGGAAGTAATTTGTATGGTGCATCAAAATTTATCAAATGTTTTTCAGTCAGTTCTACAGGCATCTGTGCTTCACCCTGCAAAAATGCTTCGGTAATGCCTTCATGAGAAGATGAATTAATACAGAATTCAATCCACGTTATAATCAACTTTAGATTAGAGAAAGCGCAATCTTCTGAGAGCAGTCTAAAAGCAAATGTTCGCATAAGCTTACTTCTGTTCCGAATACTATTTTGAAAAATGTTAATTTCAAATCCAAACACATAGAGATGTAAAAGTAATCCGCTTTGTAAATTCGTTGTACATGAAGAGTTGCTTTGATACGTTACGCCTCCAATTTTATCACAAAGAACATCCCAATCAATTTGAATTAGATCAGGATAGGTCTGCCACACAAACCTTAATATATTGTAACATTTGACACAAATATAAACACTATACTTCCCTAACAAACCCTTGAATAAAATATCATTCAACACTTTAACTGTTGGTTTGTTTTGAGCAACGAAACCTTTCAAAATATCCAAACTACAATCAAAGAAGGCATCACCCTCTTCCATAGCAGCCTCTAAACTATAAATATGCATAGCACTGAAGGATTCCACAAGATTGTTTACAATTGATGCTGCTGAAAATTTCACATTATTAATGCTAGTATAATACTGATTAGTATAGGAATAATTTGGAGCTATGGCATTGTCAATTGGCTCATTTGGTTCAACCCGTACATTACGTAATGAAATCCCTGATGTGATACTGGTCCCATCAGCTGTTAATCTAACATTATCTTCAGACTGAGCACATTGATTCACATTTTGATCAATCCAATCTTGAGTATCACTTACTTTGCTTTTAGTATAAATTGGTAATGAACTTTCTTCAATACTTCCCTCTTTAGGACCATCAGATTCCTGAGAATCATCACTTTGGCAATATTCCAAAGAACGCAATGGTTGTTGTAGTAAAGATGTGGTACTACCAGCATCACTAGAGCTACCTTGTGAAGATGCAAGTATCTTAATGGATTCTAATGAAGTATCAGACTGATAATCACTTTCATTAGGTATTTTATGTGTTTGATTTAAGCTATCTAAACAATCCATCCAATGTCTAGAACCTTCTGAGGAGTCATTGGCTTCCCCATCTAAAACAGTTATTTTGTCTTTTTTAGGTTTACTTTTATACGACACTGATGATAATAGTTTAGCAAGTTTATTCTTATGTTCAGAGGTAAATAAAAGATTAGACTTGGAGAAAGTAGAGTCTTTCTTTGTGGATTTCACTTCATTTTGAGACAGTTTAATTTGTTTTGCTGAACTTTCAAAATCATCCATACTATCATATTCTGCAGGAATAATGCAAATAGAATTCACTAAATCTGATTGAAATTCTTTCTTAATGGGTGTATTGATGATCTGTACATCATCTATATCAGGTAACTCATCACTAAAATCATCTTCAGATTCATTAACTAAATTAATTCTCATAGGTTTGATAGTTGTCTCAAATTTTTTTTTTTTCTTTTCATATTCTTCGCAATGATATTCCGAGTGACTAGACACTTTTCTGTATTTGGTTGTTTGAGTCCATTGTTTCAATTTTTTTCTTTTTTTAGTCTTTCCAAAAGAATAACTTTCTCTTGACTTTCTCTTTTCTGACTGATGTTCAAGTTTATTAATTTTGGTTTGCATTATTCCTTCACTTATAGCACTAGACCCAATCCCTATAACACTGCCCTCTTCATCACAACTAATGGAATCCAATTTAGGAATATAGTGTGGCTGGAAAGAGAAAAATTATCTTGTTTAAATTAGAAAATAAATCATGTCAATATTATGAAAATTGTAGAACTAAAAACTCTGAAGTGAACATTAATCTAACTAAAATTATGATGAATAAAAATAATTTGAATAGTAGAATAATAGCACAATGCTTTGGAATCATAATTCAGAATAAAACAGAACACTATTTAAAGAACTTTTTCTGAACATAAGATAGTATGATGAGATCATAAGGCACACAAAATGTCAAGATAGCTTGCCAAGCAAGGTAATATACGGCCCACTGGCAGCTTTGATATTAAATAAAAATATTTGGCAGCACAGTAACAATTATACCAGTATGAAATATTCAACCTTCAGTCTTACACTCTTTTTTTAGGGGGATACTGTAGGGGGGGATTGTTTACGAACAAGAGCAATAATTCATACAAAATATTTTTCTATTTTTCTGATTTTCAATAGGGGTTCAAGTTTCATCAGAATCAGTCAAGAATTGTGCTTTCTAGAGTGTTTACGAGCAATTGTGGGCAGACCAATGGACGGACATGGGGGACGACAATATACGACCACTATTTTATGCGTATAAAAATGTGTTTTGACCTGATTTTTTGTACGAACTATGAATTTTAATCAGCAAATGCCTCTTCTTATTAATTTTAATTATTTTGAGACAATAAGATACAGATACAGTTCGGGTAGTATTTCACGGGTAACCAGGTCTGATTTGAGATAATCAGTTAACCGTCAATTTTATAAAGAAGTAAAAAGAGAACAATTTTGACAGAAAATTCTTTTTTCTTAGTAAATAAACATCTTTAATGATTGAATAATTGAGATTAATAAATCAAGATAGGGTATCAATTATCAAAACACTAACGAGTTGCAAGAATTGTGGTCAAAATTATCAAGCCTCTTTTTTGATATAAGTTCAACTAATTAACTCGTTCTAGATAATTGCGTTGCGATGGTCTAAGTTTGTCGACATTAAGCCATATGACTAACGAAAACGGGAAATTGGGCCTTAGGGTGTAATTGGATGTGTGTGATGTTGATGTCTATGTTATCTTCAATCGATTGCAAACAATTCTCAGGAAGCCGATTATTGAATTTTGATTTTGCTTTTCTCATATTTCCGGTCATATTTATCTAGTGAATGCAAAATGTTTTAAGACCCATGACCTTGACCTTTGGTGACCTTATGACCCGCACTAAACTAGTTACCCCTGATGATATCTATCCGATGGTGTAAACTTCCGGTTTTACAGCCATTTGAAAATAGCAATTTTTAATTTCAAAGAGCTGTGTCACGTGACCTAATTTCTTCTTTCCAATGGTATTTAACACAAAATTGTGCTTTTTAAAATTTGAAACTTTTGAACTGACTTATAGTAACTGTGCGTAATTTGACATTTGCCGTAAAATCTCAAGCCTTTAACATGAAAGTATGAATATCTCATGATCTAATAACTTTAGACGCTTGAAATTTTTAACATACCTTAGCATTGTACACATAATAACAGATGTGACAAATTTTGGGATGGGCGTGGCACATCCAGGCTAGATTTACATTAACTTATATATTTGTTATCTATTTACTAGCAAAGTATATAATTGTCACCTATAATATTTTGCAGGTTAATAGGTAACTATTTTGGCCAATAAAAAGTTAATCTGACTGGGATTTTTACTTTAAAAAAAGGAACAGGTTTAATAATTTACTAGATTTGCATTTTTGACCTTTAACATGGATGACCTTGAACTTTTCAAGGTCAAAGGTCATTGATCTATACTGTCAATTTATACTTTGATCTTTGATGTCTGACACCTACTTCCTGTTTTACAGGCTTCCAAAAACAGTTATTTTCAAAATTTTTAAGGCTCATATCTCGTAACCTTGACCTTTGGTGACTAGTGATCTGACGAAAAGCCATAGCCCTTGATGAAATCTATCACATGGTGCCTTTGATTTTGTTGTACGATGTCTACATCCGTTTTTATAGCCATTTGAATATTGCGAATAAAACTATAACATAATAGAGCAGGAGCCCAGAGGGGTCAGCCTAGCTGAAAAACTAACCAATTCTTATATGTATCACTATTCTCCATGGACATTCCCTTTAAAGGAAATGGACGTCTGCCGGGCATGTATTGGTGGGTGTGGCCAGGAGAGGTCAAAGAAGAGTACCATTAAGATAGGCTAGTTCAGCTTGTCAAATAACTAATAGAAACTAGTACCAAAGTGGTCAGCATACAGCTATATACTATAAATGACTTTTGCCAGACATTTCCAGTGGTGGACTGTGTCCGCCAGACAATGATATCCGATACAAGAAAATTGAGCTAGATCAGCTTATGAGCTAACTGCATGAAACCTTTTGTAAAATCTTCGTCTTTAACATGTGTATCAAGAATGACCACTGCCAGACATTTTCTGTAGTGGAAAACCCCTGCCAGACGCCCCCAAATGACCCCACCCCCTAAAATAACCTAGGTTAGCCCATGAGCTAACCGCATGAAACCTTTTGCAAAATCTTCGTCTTTAACATGTGTATCAAGAATGACCACTGCCAGACATTTTCTGTGGTGGAAAACCCCTGCCAGACGCCCCCAAATGACCCCACCCCCTAAAATAACCTAGGTTAGCCCATGAGCTAACCGCATGAAACCTTTTGTAAAATCTTCGTCTTTAACATGTGTATCAAGAATGACCACTGCCAGACATTTTCTGTGGTGGAAAACCCCTGCCAGACGTCCCCAAATGAGCCCACCCCCTAAAATAACCTAGGTTAGCCCATGAGCTAACCGCATGAAACCTTTTGTAAAATGTTCGTCATTGTTTCGTGTATCAAGAATGACCACTGCCCAACATTTTCTGTGGTGGAAAACCCCTGCTTGACATTTATAATAATTCTGAAAAGAAAATATTAAAAAAGTGACCATGTTAGCTAATGGTTTAATTTTATGATATTGTGGTCTGAAAATGTTATCTATACCATTAGAATGGCTTCCCTGGAAATAAAATGGAGGCCTGAATTGAAAGGCCTTTCTGTCACTTTTCCACTCAAAGAAAACGTTAAGTAGTTGTTTTTTTAATACGTCTCAGTATTACCACAAGACGGCATTTACCTCTTTGTGCACCTATATTGAAACTGAGGTAATAGACAACAAGCGATCTGTCTTAGTCTCCGATTTACTAGACGTGTACAAAGTTGAGTTTACAGGTATTGGGGGCGAAAGGGCAGACATTGTGACCTACACAGCTCAGAATCTTCTCAGAAAGATTAATGACAAGTTAGGATCAAAAATCAATACCAAGTTAGCTGATTATCGGAAGGGAAACTTCATTCACAGTTGTACTGTAACAGAAGATGCCAGAGCCCAACTTCATGAGGATGCTGAACGACACCAAGAGGATGACAAATTACGATGGGCAGCTCTTCATATTCGTTCAAAGATAATGCAGCTGCCAAAATTTAAAACTCCGAATCCCACAACAGTGCAAAATTTGAAGGAATGTGCCCAAGAAATACCAGAGCAGTTGGATCTCTTTTTTCAGGAGTCTCTCTTCTGTTGACAAAAAGTCCCCAAGGCTCATTCAAGGATACAATAGATCGCAAGGTGACTGCAATGGCTTCTGATGCAATTTACAATGTTTCTCGTGGTACAGTTAAACCATGGAAGCACATTGCTTTGGGTCTTGGCTTAGCATCTCTCACCGGATCCAAGCTATCCAAGCAGATTTTAAACAGAGCGGGACACAGCATCAGTTACAGTGAAACAAAAGGTCTGGAGACAGAATTTGCATATTCAGTAGAATCTGATGAACGTGACACTCCTGATGGTATTCGACTTGAACCAGGTTTAGCAACTGCCTGTGTCTGGGACAACAATGATGCCAACATAGAAACATTAGATGGCAAAGAAACATTACACGCCACTGTCGGTCATACATACCAGAATATTTTGCAGCATGACAGAGAAACAAATAACATTCCAATAGAATTTCGAGATGGAAGGAATCGACGAAGGTTTGTTGGAAGTCAACGAGAGATACCCCCATTTAGGAAACCTCTCAATACAGCTATGTTTGTCACGAGTGCTAATGCTTCCAACGCAATTACAGCTGAATCTACAGATACGGCTGAAACATATGATTACTTCTGAATCTACAGAACCAAATGTAATCCAGAGGAAAGTAAAACTGGCAATGAAAGCACTGGATCTCTGTTGGCTTTGGAAATTGTTTGAGGGCAACACACCACTGTATGCTGGATTTATCAGCATGTACATCAAGGATGTCTTACCGATGCAACGAATTTGCTACATGGACCCTATATCTAGATCGCCAACTAACAATGATGTAGTCAAAGAGACAATGATCCGCACCATGAATGTTGCAAGGGAAACAGGACAAGATTATTCCATTGTTACCTATGATTTGGCTGTGGCTTTGAAAGCATACTCTATACAAGCAATAGAAAGTCCAATGTTTGACAACCTGTTAATCATGCTTGGTAATTTTCATGTTGAACTAGATTTCTACGGTGCAGTTGGCACACTGATAAATGAAACAGGAATAGAGTTCATACTTACAGAGGCAGACATTCTTGCTGAAGGATCAATGATGGGATTCATCAAAGGCAAATTTTACAACTGCTGCACAAGAATTCATGAATTGCTGGCAAATGTCTTGGAGCAGAAGCTATATCAACTTTTTCTTCTGGACTTACCCGAAGAAGAATATGAGTCAGTCGTACTAGTGATGCACACATTACCTTCAAATGCAAGCCAGGCAGAAGTGCATCTTTTAGATCCAGTTGTATTGCAGCATCTTGAGAAGTATGAGGAATTCTTCCAGATGATTATTGATGGTAGCCAAGGACCAACAGCTCAATTCTGGGCAACTTACATCTTCCTCATCAATCGTCTGCACAGAGAGTTGCAGAGATGTGTGAAGACAAATGATGTCAATAGTTATATCAATGTGTTTCCAATGATACTTGGTGTATTCTTCAGCCTCAATCGTCCTAACTATGCCAGATGGGGAACGCTTTTCCTTCAGAAGCTGAAATCATGTGACCCTAAGTTGATTGAGATTTTGGAAAAGGGTGCATTTTCGGTCAGACGTACTACCAAAGATTACAGTAGATCAGCTGTTGACCTGTCTTTAGAACAGTCTGTGAACCGTGATGCAGCATCTCAAATGAAAGGGATTGTCGCATTCAGAAACTGCCATGCGAAGGTGGTCGTTAAGCATGACCCAGAGAGCTATGGCTGTAACTGAGTTAAGAACATTAGCTGGGCTGGAACTAGGGGAAACTGCAGCTGCCCAGTGTCGTCCTTCAAGAATAAAAAAGGACAACAGTCAAATGGCAGCATTGAGTGCAAAAATTGATGAATTTTGCAATCCTTTCAAAAGTGAAACTTTAGGTTGCTTGGTCAATGTTGCTACTGGTCAAGCAGCATCAAAGGACACTGCATCATATCTGCTGAATACACTGAAAAGGGGTGAGGATGCAAGGGAAAAATTCTTACATGAATGGGACAGCAACAACCATCGCTTTCTTCAACCAGTCAAACGTACACGAGTACAAAACTTTGCTGCTGAAAATGTCAAGAAGAAAACCAAGTCACCGGCCTAACAGGGAGCAAAGACAAACGCTGAAAGCCTAAGAGATATGTTTATACGTATGATTATTGTTGTTGCAGAGGAGACAAACTTTGATCTAAAAAATGTTCTCTCCTACCCAATTACTACATACCCATTATCGCTTGCACATTGTGATGGGACCCATGTTAAAACTAATAAATCGGTACTTCTGAAGAAACTGGAGTCCCTACAGACTGAACCTGTCACAGAGTCGGAGCTTCCAAGGAATTATGTTCATGTCTATGATGGTGGCCTTCTTCTCCATTCGATCCTCACGCAAACAAACATAGGCGCATCCTATGGATCAATTGCTAGGACAATATTGTCAGCAGTCTGTTCATATGATGCAAATGAAGCACACATTTGTCTTGACAAATATGTAGAGAATCCCATCAAAGACAGTGAGAGGAGACTATGAGGGGCCGTTGATTCTGTCTGTGTCATAACAGGGCCAGAACAAACAATACGCCAAAGTGGACAAAAACTTCTTACTTGCAAAATTTCTTCTCAAAGAATGGGGAAAAGATCACTATTGGAACATCGTCAGGGGAAAGACTCTGGTTGTTTCATATGGCGGAGAGTGCTTCCAATACGTCCCAAAAGAACTCCAGCAAATCTCCGTGACGAGGCCACCACACCTTTAAGGTGACCACGAAGAGGCCGACACACTAATTGCATTTCATGTTGCAAATATCACGGCGGACAATATCATTGTGAGAGCATCAGACACTGATGTCTTAGTGATACTGATTGGTGCACTTGGACAGAAACGCCCAGAAGTAAGATGCATGGTCAATATCATCATGGACTGTGGGATGGGAAACAGCAGAAGATATATCAATGTAAAAAACATTGCTGATATTCTTGAGCACCGCAAGTCTGGGATGTCAAGAGCCCTCCCTGGATACCATGCCTTCACTGGGTGAGACTTCACATCAGCCTTTTACAGGTTAGGCTATACATGTTATTGTCAAAATATAATACTAAGCACTATTTTCACATTCTCGTTCCAATTTCACATATTTTATTATTGATTTTATTATTGATAATGAACCTATTTGCTTTGCAAGGACAGTTGGATGTAAAAAACACACAATGTGTTCAGGTATAGATAGCAGACTAGCAAGATACTAAGCATTGATAGTATTGTTGTTATTCAATATACATGTGATACTCAATTAAAAGTGGACAAATGTATAAATTTGTTTTTTGTTTTATAGGAAGGGCAAGACAAAGGCCCTAGATATCATAGAGAAAGACGAGAGTGGTCGTTTTGTTGAAGCATTTATCAGCATGGGAGATGCACGTCACACGGTTGATTTTGATGTCATATCAGAATTTGTCTGCTGCATGTATGCCCAAAGTCAGACTCGCGACATTGATGAAGCACGTTACAACAAATTGATGCAAATGACAGGCAAAGTTCAAAAGGTATTAACTGAAATTGATATAATTACCTGCCAGCTAAATTTAGACTTATTGTCATAGCAGTCATGAAATGCTTATTTCTAATGACATATTTAATTGTCTTTCAGGATAATCCGCTGGCAAACGTCAAACGTATCGACTGTGCATTGCTTCCACCCACTCGTAAAACGCTAGAGATGAAGATCAGCCGGTTGCAATATGTTACAGTGTTGTGGACCCTTGCTACAAAAGCTTGTCCAGGAGATGGTTTGTCAATGACACACTCCTGAAACCAATCTGGTTCCATGGGCCTGCGATTCCTGGTAGTCTGTTCTCAAATTATCAAGGTGGCAACAGAGTGGTAGACAATGACACTGATGAAACAACGATTATCACTGGTAGTGGGTCCGAAACTGTTCAATTGAGTGATTCGGATGATGAACCGTGGACTGAGGATTCAGATTCAGACCAAGATGAAGAATAGAAGCACTATACTTATTACTTACAACTTTACATTTTCCCATAATGTTAATGAATAGAAAGACATTAAATCAGAACGCTCACATTAAAAAAAAAAAGAGTATCCAATTAGTATATCAAAAAGGTTTAGTTAATCCATGCTAGTGAATGTGATAACTTTTTTGATATATTCAGTATATTCATAAACATAATTCAAACTTGTTAGTGTTTGGGGTTGGGGTCACTTATGGCGTCTGGCAGGGGTTTTCCACCACAGAAAATGTCTGGCAGTGGTCATTCTTGATACACGAAACAATGACGAACATTTTACAAAAGGTTTCATCCAGTTAGCTCATGGGCTAACCTAGGTCATTTTATGGGTAGGGGTCACTTGGGGCATCTGGCAGGGGCTTTCCACCACAGAAAATGTCTGGCAGTGGTCATTCTTGATACACGAAAAACAATGACGAACATTTTACAAAAGGTTTCATCCAGTTAGCTCAGGGGCTAACCTAGGTCATTTTATGGGTAGGGGTCACTTGGGGCGTCTGGCAGGGGCTTTCCACCACAGGAAATGTCTGGCAGTGGTCATTCTCGATACATGAAACAATGACGAACATTTCACAAAAGGTTTCATGCGGTTAGCTCATGGGCTAACCTAGGTCATTTTAGAGAGTGGGGTCACATGGGGTCGTCTGGCAGGGGCTTTCCACCACAGAAAATGTCTGGCAGTGGTCATTCTTGATTCACATGTTAAAGACGAAGATTTTACAAAAGGTTTCATGCAGTTAGCTCATAAGCTGATCTAGCTCAATTTTCTTGTATCGGATATCATTGTCTGGCGGACACAGTCCACCACTGGAAATGTCTGGCAAAAGTCATTTATAGTATATAGCTGTATGCTGACCACTTTGGTACTAGTTTCTATTAATTATTTGACAAGCTGAACTAGCCTATCTTAATGGTACTCTTCTTTGACCTCTCCTGGCCACACCCACCAATGCATGCCCGGCAGACGTCCATTTCCTTTAAAGGGAATGTCCATGGAGAATAGTGATACATATAAGAACCCCTCTGGGCTCCTGGTCTATAAGCCGAGTTCCAGGAATATTCTTAAATGTTTGGAACATGGATTCCTATATAGCTTTGATTTTGAACATAAATATTTAGCAGTACAGTAACAATCACCAGTATGAAATATTCAACCTTCAGTCATACACTTCTTTTGAACTCTTTAGGGCGATACTGAATAATATTGAGTATGAGTTATTGCCCTTATTCTTGAAAACGTGTTCAATCTTTAGCTCGTGAAAACTCTAGAAGACAAATATTCAATCTTCAGCGTGGTAATGAATAATAAAATCAAGTTTTGTCAAAATTCGGCAAGAATCATGCCTTCTAGAGTTTTTATGAGCTACAAATTGAACGAGCTTTCAAGATCAAGGGCAATAACTCATACTAAAAATGTTTTTCGATTTTTCTCATTTTCAATAGGCTTTATCCATGGGTGATAACAAACACTCAAGCCAAATTACGTTAAAATCCGTCAAGAATTGTGCCTTCAAGAGTGTTAACAAGCTAAAAATTGAACGCTTTTCAAGAATAAGGGCAATAGCTCATACTCAATATTTTTAGATACTTCTGATTTTCAATAGGGTTCATCCTTGGGTGATTACGAAACACTCACACCAAGTTTCGTCAAAATCCGTCAAGAATTGTGCCTTCTAGAGTGTTTACGAGCTAAAAATTGAATGCATTTTCAAGAACAATGGCAATAACTCATACTAAATATTTTTCGATTTTTCTGATTTTTTAATAGGGTATATCCTTGGTTGATAACAAACACTCATGCCAAGTGTGTTCTTTGAACGCAATGCATTGTTTTGCAAATGACTATTTTGGGGCTGTTTTTTTTTTCTATTTCTGGTTACGCTCTCCAGCCAAACTGCATATGTCACACATTATCTGAAAAGATTATCTGTCATACTTAGCGTGTAGTTATTAGGTGAATGTAAAATGATGTATTTTCGGAAATGACGTAGGATGTTAACCGTTCATTGCGTATTTCGATTTTGTTTACTGCTCTAATTCTGAACCTATTTTGACCGTAATTTGGGTTTTTTTCATTACTTTAAACTAATGACTAAAAGTAAAAGATAGCACTTTCATATTTTAGTGCTGACTTTTTTTATTTTAATTTTAGTGTTTTTTTTTAACAATTTTATTTCAATCGATCTGAAAATTTACAAGTAGATAGACATTTTGATTCAACAAAATTCTCTTTTCTAAATTTTTATATCACTACCAGTATTGACGTCTTTCGCCTGTAAAGTTTCAACTTCCGGAATTTTACAGATATTAATAAAGATATATAATTTTTTACAAACTTCTATACTAACTGTGTGTGCGTAAATTGGTTTTTGCCGTATAAGTCTCTAAGATAAATCCACAAATATCTCATCATGTAATGAATTATTTTTTCCATTTTACTGATTTTCAATAGGGTTCATCCTTAGGTGACAACAAACACCAAGTTTCACAAAATGCCACAAGAATTGTGTCTTTACGAGCAATTGTGGACGGACGGATATAGGTGACGACAATATACGGTCCCCATCTGTGGGTGTATAGAAAGAGCTAATACTCAACAAACAGAATTGATATGAAATATCTTTTGTTTTTATGTCATTTAATGTTGGATTATCAATTATACAAGCGATTATTTAATTGACGATAAGTGATTAAGATGCTTAGATGTTGGATTGTACAGATTTTCTGAATGTTGGGACCACTGATTAGTGTCGCAATTCGAAATTGGTCTGCACAGAAGTTTTTTAAACAGACATAACAAGTTAATCATTCCGGACCAAATAATATCTCTGATTACATAGAATGTTGGAATATTCAGATGTTGGATATCACAGTGTACACTGTACTACCGATTAGTTTATGCGGTGTTTCACCAGTATGAAATACTCAACTTTCTTTTAAACATTTTGGGGCGATACTGAATAGTATTACCCAGTTTTGTTAAAATCTGTCAAGAATTGGTCTTCTAGAGTTTTAACAGGCTAAAACTTGAATGTGTTTTCTATAGGGTTCATCTAAGTTTAATCTAAATCTGCCAATAACTATGCTAATTAAAGGGTTTACGAGTTGAAAATTGCACGTGTTTTCAAGAGCAAGGACAATGACTCATACTAAATATTTTTCGATTCATTTGAATTTTGATAGGGTTTATTCTTGGGTAATAAGAAACACTCACATCAAGATTTGTCAAAATCAATCAAGAATTGTACCTCCTAAAGTGTTTACAAGCAATTGTGGACGGATCCCCATTTCATGTGGGCATATAAAAAGTAATCAACTTCTTACTCAAACCTTATCAATTCCAATGATCACACAAAGTTTCAAAATAGACTCTATTGCATGCATGAACAAATTTGAATTATTTAAGTCAAGGGCAATAACTGAAAAAACTTTTAGTCAATTGAAACTTTTCCAATATATCAAATATATACGATCACACCAAATTTTGTGCATTTTTGATGTGCTTTGACTTCCGGCAATAACCCATCTGCTCATCAAAAAATCCTTAAATTCGAACTGCCCAAGGTCTCATCAATATATATGATCGCACCAAATTTCATTTCAATAAGGTGAAAACTGTAGTCTCATAAACAAATTTTTACGCGATTTAACTAAGTCAACAGCAATAACTGAAAATCTGTTCATCAAAAATCTTCAAAATCCAACTAGACCGAGATCTTATTAATTCCAATGCTCACAACAAGTTTCATCAAAATCCAATGAAAATTATAGTTTCTATAGTGCCCACAAACAAATTTTGACCGTTTTTACGAAGTCAAGTGGAATAACTCAGAATTCGTCATTCGAAAAATCGTCAAATTTTCGAACTTGACCGAGATCTTATCAATTCCAATGCTCACTCCAAGTTTCATCAAAATCCATTGAAAATCTAAGTTCAAACACATTTTGACACAATTTTTAGCTTGTGAAAACTATACAAGGCAAATATTTGACCTTCAGCGCAGTATAATAAAACTAAGTTTTATCAATCAAGAATCATGTATTTTAGTGTTTAAGAGCTAAAATAACTCCTGTGAAACATTTTCCAATTTTTTTGATTTTCGATAAGTTTCATCCATGTGTGATCATAAACAATTTCACCAAGTTTCGTCAAAATCTGTTAGGAATTGAGCCTTCTGGAATGTTTACGAACACGTTCTGAAGAACAGGGGCAGTGACTCCTACTAGATATTTTTGATATTGGGTGATAACAAACACACCAAGTTTCATCAAAATATGTGTAGATCTAGAGTGTTTACGAGCAATTATGGACAGACCGACAGACGGACATGGATAACGGCAATACTTTATGTGGGCGTATAAAAATTGTCACCAGAGAGTAGAGTATTATGTTATCTTGAATATTAATGACATATATACCTGTAAACTAAGTGATAGAGCCATTTGAATGTCATCTTCAAATAATTCCTCAAAGGTATTCTTTGCAGCACTGACAGTGACACTACCAAACTTCTCATTAACAAAGCCAAGAACTGTAGATGAGGTTGAAGGTTCTGTTCCATTTTCTTCAACCTTTCCTTTAGGATTCATTGTTAAATTGTTTGTGATCTGACAACTTCTTTCATTTTTGGACTCATTTACCTCTTCATTGCAGATACCATCCCTAGTACCAGTATACGAGAGGAAAATGTCATTCCTGGCACTCGGTGAACTATGTACTTTTTTCAAGTCACAAAGAACATCAGTTTTACACAAATGTCCATTCTGATAGCCTCCATGCGTTGACAAATCATCTGTCTTTGAGTTTGTGTCGTGATTTCTGCTGTCAACAAAGTAATGATCTCCATTCTGATCTTGTGTTTGAAATTCAATGTTTCTCTCATAAATTAACTGCCGTTCTATTTGCTCTTTTTTATCAGTTGAAATTGAAATGAATGGACACAACTTTGAAGAAGTGCCAGTAGCATTTGTTACTGACTTTCTCTCACTGGCATTCGTTGCTTCACTTGGCCTAATGAACCTGGGGCTGGAGGCAGAACATGAAAATAATTCTTCGTAGGTGTCACTGTCCGAATCGGATGCGAGAATGACAATTTCATCATCTTCCATTAACTTAAAACTTCTCAATCATAATCACATTTAAACACAGTCGATTAGTCAGTAACCTGTTCAAGTAATAATGAATGTAACCTCCTTAAATTCGCTCACTTTTCATGAATTCCACGAGAGTCACCAGTTCGTTTACCTTATGATTGGGGGAATACCCTATGGCAACCTACACTTGATTGATGCAAAGATGTATCTATGGATTGATGTCACTGAAAACGGAAAAAACGACAAAACAAAAATACACCAAAAGTTCAGAAGAAAAAAACAAAAAGACATTACATTACTATTCAAGATAATACTGAACTAGCGAGTTTAGTTTTCTATTTCTTAATAAAAAAAAGAGGACAATTTAGCGCCATATTAGAGAACAATTTGAACCAGTCATATCCTAACTGTTATAACGATACAGAATTGAACGAAGGTTACCAAAAATGACTTGTTCGACTCGTGTAAATGGCTGTGATTACTAAAAATAATTTACTCGATGTAAGATATGGACATATTCTATCTATGGGATAGTGTCATGTATCTTTACATTACAGTCGTTTATGTATTCCCACCAGTAAAACTAGCCAGCGACAAAATAAGAGTGAATTTGAAATAAAGCTTACTTATTGACATTATCCAATTCCTTTTTAATTTGCAGCAGTTTTCTCTGTAAATCAGTCCAAAACATGCCTTGGTGCCACTCTGGCCTTTGTGCTCGTGCAGCCATTAGCATGGTATGTCATGGTGTCCTTTTGAATTTGGTATGCTAAATCTGTTATTTTCATCATTTCAGATTTGATCAATAAAATTAATGTAGCCCAATTAATATTGGACTTAAAAATTCTCGAGTTCAATCACATGTTCCCATAAAAATGTCATTTGATTCGTGTATTTTCTGTATGTTCTATTGGACGATAGTAAAGTAATCATGGTCCACTGACTAAAGATAAATGGTAGCGCTATTCCTTTCCTTCACACGTGTTCGATATTTGAATCATTTGTTCGGTACTAAAATAAAGAATCAATACAAACATGTTATTTAATATTCTATTAAACTTAAGGCATGTGTTGATAGCAATTCGGCACCAGCTCCCAAAACTGGCAGTACAATATATTGAGATGCGGTCCTGGAAACTTGAGGGTAGCCTACAAATTAAATAGGGGGAGGGGGGCTGGACTGACTCAAAATTGAATTCAAAATGCAACAACACTGTGGAGACTTCATAATCGCAAGTTTTTCATGAAGAGGGTTCTCCCAAGAAAATTATCGACAAATTTAATTGAATTCTGACACTTATTTTGGGGCAAAAAGTATAAGATTTGTTAAAAATAAATTGGGGGTTAAACTCCACATACAATGTTTTTTTTTTATTTTGTTTTTTGCTTCAGATAGCCCTTTTGGCACCCTCAGAGAAATTCTTTTATTGACCAAATTCAAAATGGCCGCCATTTCGATATTCCGAATACTACATTGGTGTCATAACTGTGCCTCTAGAGCATCAATAGACATAAAAAAAAATAATCAAGAATAAAAACCATCAAGACTACTATTAGTCATGTGGACTGGAAAGGGTTCCCCTGTTGACAAACCCCAACGCAGAGTGGCATTTGGTGTTCCGGAAAGGTGGGTTTGACCTGCCTTGCCATCGACATCTACCGCAATAATTTGTTTTAGTTGGACAATCCAATAGTTTTTTTTAACTTACACCTGAGAACTTCAAATTGAAGAATGACCCAGAAACGATCTTCAACATCAGCAGAGGGCTTAATAAATATTCCAAGTAAACTATATAGAAGCTATAATAGTGTCTATGCTGTAAGTGTTCCCGCTACCTCTTTGATGGTCCTTGATCCATTGCATAACCCCTTCCCCCTATAATTAATTAGTCATTACTCTTTCGAGATTTTCTCTTAGGTTTTCGTGCAGTCTTTTGATATCGGAGAATAAAGCCTAATTAACTGAATAGATTTTTAAGCCAGCCTAAACAGAACCTCATTACCGCCCAAAAATTTCAAACTGTTTCCAAAGTCATTACATAGCCCTACCTTGGTCATTTTATGTGGGGAGGTCGAAGAATCATAGAAATAATTTGAATTGGAAAAATATTATTTAATATAATGTATATTACTTTAAGTTGACCTTTTTAATAGTCTAAGATTTGTGTATTAGAGAACTTATTTAAACACTTATCAACAAAAAAGATAACAATAAAATTCACTGATCAAGTTGGACTAGGTGACTTTTTAGTAGTCGACAGGTAATTACTAATACTGTACACATCATTTGAAATGCGTGACAATCGTGTCTACTACATATTGACCTAGTTTCCCTTTATAGTCACATTCTCGCAGGTAATTAGTATTTCTTGTAATTAAATTATTAAATATTAGTCATTTTGTTGGGATGAAATACTGACTAAAGGCCTTGGCTTTAATTTTTCAGGTATGTATGGTTATGACCTTTGATTTTTGATCAAAATTGGTCGACCGGTCTCTATTGTTGTCGCCAGTTTGTACCTGTGTAGGCTAGTGTGTAGTTCAGGGTTAGAGAATCAAACGATATCTCAAGTTACACTTCATTAAAATAAAAAGGGCGTTTCAATAATTTCAAACATCTATAGGTCCTGGATTATTCAGGACCTAGATAGATGTTTTGGCTAGTATACTGGTCAAAACGTTGTCACATTCGACGACAGGCTACTTGATTCCAAGACATTTATAAACATTTTTTGTCTACAATAGGATCGGACACTTCCCAAAAATATAAAATCATTTTGATATTGAAATGAAAGTTTTTAAAACAGTTCATTGTATTATTTATATAGTTATTAACTATTCAGCTGTTATGACATTTTCCCTATTACAATTTCACCAGGTATTGAATCTTCGTAGTAATCCACGTTGTTCGGTTGCCAAAGATACCTTTTTTATAATCGAATAATAATTGACTATTAGGCTATATAGCCTACTCTTTAAAGGAATTCAAAAGGTTTCCTTAATTTAGCCTCCAAACAGTTCAGCCATATCACTTTAATAATGTGATTATAATATATTCTATCAACATGATAAATAACCTAAACGTTTAGTCAATGTTAAGGTATCAAAAAAAGAAACTATTTTATAGCGAAATTTCAATAGACATGCCTGAAAGATACATCATCTGCCACTGATCAATTTGACCGTATCATTGTTGTAGGCCTACTAGAGCGAGATGCTTTCTTGTGGGATTTCTTGATGTCTCGATAAAGGCTATTGGTGTGTAACGTGATATGTGCAGGTTTACAAATTTACCTTTGGGGTTGATCGACTTTGGAACAGAATCAACTGATACCAGCGTACCTAAGATATTGAAGATCGATCCCGAAACAGCCTACAGTATGTCGATTGCACCTTGAATACGTTGCATACACCACATTGCAAATTCTTACATAATTTTGGTTTAAGGATGTTATTCCTACCTTGTAATTGGATAGTGTTCGTATAAGAAATACCATTGTCTCTGACTTGAAAAGAAAAGAGCCTCATGAAAACTACTCAATTTCATTTGAAAATTTAAATTTGAAAAAACAGGACATCAGTTCAAGCCTGGGCTGAGTATTTGGTGAATTGATTTCATGACTACGTGGGTATTGAACAATAATCAATTTAAGATGTGTTTTACTCTGTCACTGTTCACATCATTATCAGGTTGTTAGCAAGTAAACAGACAATGAATTCTTGGCGTAGAAAATCATTGAAAAACAGGGTAAGCAGGAAACCTTTTGAGTTGTACAAGCCTAAACTAATTTTATTCGGTTATAATTCTGTATCTTTAAATTAATTTAAGGTATTTGATGTAAACAAGCACACATCCAATCATTTATTTTAACTAATTTAATTGCATCTGATAATTTGGTTAGAGGTTATATTAGGCCATCTAGAAAATTATTTTCTTTTCACCAAAGACCGCCATTAATGATATTCAACTGAGTAAAACTTTAATTGTGGACCATATGAACCCCACTTTTTAACAGAATAGCAGAATTTCCAACTTTTGACAGTTACATACAGCGAGTCCGGTTATCTACGATTACATATATCATACAATATTTATTTACTCCCAGATTATGCCTTTAAATATCAGATGTTAGGTGTTAGGTGTTAGTGTAGGAATTCTGGAAATTTCACTTGGTGGTCACTGTTATAGGTAGTTGTGAGTTGAAATCATGTTTCATTTGTACGCGCCCATGACACCATATACCTTGTCTGACAATGTGCCTTTGTATTTTCAGAAAGTATCAATCTTACAAAATGAGAATCCAGCAATTCTCCAACAAGAGAAGAAAGAGAAAGTAAAAATTTGGCAGACTGTACATTGGGCTGATTCTTTCCCTGAAGAATTTCTTACTATGGATTCGAACGACATAACACCACAATTTGCTCTGACTAAAATCAACTCCTTGTTGGAGAGCAGACGTTATGAGGAATGTAACAAATTCATAGCTAGATTGAATAACTTTACAGTCAAATCTATTCTGACTGATTTACCTATTTCCCAATTACATCTCACTATTCCAAATAGTCTTTCTGTCCTTGATTGTATTTATAATAAGGTATATGGGACATCTACTTCCAACTTCCCCATACAGTATCTAAGAACAGATGAATTGTTGAAAAATATGGTCATTTTATTTTCCCAACCGACGAATTCCAATAACCGTGATAAAAATTGTAATCTGTTTTATCCATATTGTCGCAATATTCTGCGAATTGTAGCCTCAGTTGAGCCAGAATTTCTTCAAATGGTAAAAGAGCGGAGAAATCTTTTGAGTCAGAGCCTGAAGTTTCTGGGACAACACGGAATGGTAAAATCAGGGATTAAAACTACTGGTATTAAAATGATAAGTTTACATGATGCTTTAAAGATTGAATTTGATCGGGTAATATCATTATATAAAAGTGCATTACATAAATTAGAGGAATTTAGTTTGTCCGGTAAGAATCCAAGTGAAAGCAGTGTTAATACTGGGCCGGCACCGAGTGAAGCCAGCCATCAGAGACTTTTACAAGTTACTAGAGATGACGTACAAGATCGTTTGATCAAAAATAAAACTATCTATAATGTTGTTGAACGTGTTTTTACTGGCCAAGCTGTGGACAACTTAATTGATATATTAGAAAAAAGAATTGAATACGACAAACAGATTTTGTTTCAAGAAAGTGAATTACGCAAGTTATATGGTTTTGATAAGAGTAATTATGTTTCACTGACTATAAGACAGTATTTACATGGTTATAATGTCTTGGTACAGTTAATTCAAGAAGGTTGTGGACTAGAGACAACCACTAGTGTAGATGATGATGGTACTGATAGTGACGTATTTGAGAATAATGATGTATTCAAGAAATTTCTTAGATCTCGAAGTGTTGATGGATTAGATCAAGTATCAGGTAGGTTAAGTTGCTTTTGTTGAACTGGGTTTTTTTTATCCAGCATGCCAATTTACTTTTTGTTTCTGAACATTGCAATCCATTATTACAATTCATTAGTCAGAGAAGAGTAGAACGTAAAACTCCATTCATTTAATTTAGTAAGAACATGTTACTAAATAATTTCGATTGGTGTCATTCTGACACGATTGCTAGCTAGCAATTGCTCACTCCGCCAGAACAGCCTATGCCTATGGGACAGCATTGGCGTTGAGTCAATATCAAGTTACAAGATTTACCTCCCTTGAATCTATATTATCCAGACTTGATCTTCCGAGGGTTACTAGCAGTTGGATCTGCGTTGGATCATGATAGTTTCCAAACACTCTTACGATAATTAATTTTCATTTCTCAATAAGAGATTGATACCACTACACCAAGAGTTACTTACATCTGTATTAAAAAACACGTCGTAGGTTATGTGTTGTAGCTGAACCTTTCTAATAGAAAATCAATTATTTGAACTGGAAAACGGGATTAGTGATAGATTTATATAACTCGTTGATTTTTGTTGTCATTTGAAGAGAGAAAATAAATCAAGACTTCCTCTCTCACCAGTCCTATTCTGAAAGCGAATGTATTCCAACATAAATATCAATCCACAAGGTCGATAGAATTCTGAATGCGACTGAAATCAACGATTGCTCGGCTAGCAATCACTGACTTCAATCGACCGAAGCTGACTGATTGAAAAATAGGAAAAACGATTCTCACGGCCTACTTTATAGTTGTTCTAAAAAAGATGGCTACCTATTTTCTCGACACCCTCGACCGTAAAGAGGAAAACATTATGCCACCATCACAATTTTTTTATAATGCTATCAATAAGAGCTGTAATTAAACAACGCTTGATTAACCTTTGACCCCAGACTCTATCTCCATGGTAATAGTTACTTGATATAACATTTCTAGGGGAGGACAATCTAAATGGCCGAGAAAGAAGAATACAACCTAAAATTAGTTCTCCACTACTAACAGGTAGGGTTTATGTTATTTGTAGATTGCTGTTTTCAGTTTTAATGTTCTTAGAGATATTTCATTTCTAGGAATTTCTAGAATTCCTCAACATGCTCGGTTCCTAAATGGAATTTTGCGACATGTCTGTCTTTTCTGTAGGTTGATGTTCTAAGTCTGAGGTGAAAGTTGAAAGTGTTTTCCTATTGAAGCAGCTTGTTTCGTATGTTTTTGAATGTGCTGATTTTTTCAATCATATAATGCATGTAGAATAATAGGACCTTACCTCGTGAAAAAAAAATATTATCTTTTCTAAAAATGAAAGGAATGTGACACGAGACCTCACATAAACAAAAACGAATTACTGCACAATTGGACCTGAAATCCATAACATTCATTTTTATACGCCCACATGAATTTTTTGTGCATATACTTGATATCATCTGCGTCTGCGTAATACGCCCACACTTGCTTGCAAACACCACCGAGACTACAGTTTCGATCGGTTACTGAACGCCATGCTTTTGTAAATTGTTGAAATCTCAGACAAGTTCGATTATCACGATTTTTCGATGAGCTGTTTTTAGTTATTGCCCTTGAATTACATTAGACTTGACATAGAAGATATAGAAGCTACAGGTTTGTGTATATCAATGAGAGTCCGGATGTTTCTTCTATGACTATATTACAGTTTTTATCCAATTATTATGAAACTTTGTATGTAATGTGTATATTGATGAATCTGGGAATGAGTGAAACCTTCATAATTTTCGATTGCGGTTTGGTGGTTATTCATCATCTGTAAAATATTTACGATATAATTTTTTCTCTTTGCTCTTAACTAAATGTGTCAACAATTGTTATGAATGCGATAAGGGTTGATTTTATTGGGTTTTGATGAAATGTGGTAGGGATTTAAAATGTATGTAGATGACATAGTTTTCTTTTCATGATTTTTCGATGAAAACCTTTAGGGTTGTAACCAAAGTGTCATGGATAAAGCGCAAAGATAATTTAATGGTTGCAAAATGTTTTTATATGTTTTGATTGAAATTCACAGGATAAATGAATGACAAAAACAAAGATTTGAGTTAAGGCGACATTTTATTTTCAAGTGTTATTTGAAAGTTATAAACTTGATCAAATTATTATATATCAACTTGCAGTCTAACAAAACAACGCGACCTCATTAAAACATTTTAACCTGATATCATTGTAGTTCGTATAAGACTGATATTATTTTTCTAAAGATGGATTCGGATTGCTAGGAAAAGATTGTTAAACCAAATTATTTATAAATCTCTAACATGCTATAAAAAGAATTTGAGAAAAAGTTCCTTGCTGATGTAGAATATACTTTGTACGCAGTAAATAATATTATAGGGATTTCTTCTTCGAATTATAGACTTTCCAAGCTCATTGAGGTCCATTGTCAAGAAATAAGTAAAAAAAAGTTAATAGGCCAGGATACTGAGATTTTCGTCAATTACACCATTTCGATATCTACCTGTAATATTTCCCCCAAATACAACAAAATAATCAAAATTTCAGTCCGTTAAATGTGATGTTATATTATAGGTAGTTTATTAGCCCCGAATTCGTCTAGAAGTGAGAGAAGAGAAAGTTCACCTATTTATATACCTATAGCTGATTTAGAGGGAGATATCAGTAGAAAGACAACTCGTACATCAAGTGATAGTGGACCAGTCCCTAAACCACGTAGTAAAACACGTATTAAAACACCTGATATGAATACACCACATGTTCGAACGTCTGATGTACCTGTACAAGTTGTACACCCCACCAGTAAGAGTAGCATCAGAACAGATACAGAGACCGTTCCTAAATTGCAGAGAAATGTAGAGCTACTACAGAGAGAGCTGAAACAATCTAAAGAAGAGATACGGAAGTTACAAGAAAGAGAGAAGAGTCTTCGCGAAAGGTAATAAACATCATTACCGTTTACAATTTCATATTCAGTTAGAGTAACTTGCCCCACATTTGGTTTTGACGTCCCTATTAATTTTTCCTATATGAATAATAATTTAGGAGGAGTGCCTAAGTCCAATATTGTACTATGACACTGTAATTGTCAGTAGCGATTCTATAAAGCATTATTTGGAGGGTCGAGTAGTGGCCATGCAATTGCCAATAGCACCAGGTATTTAAGTACTCAATGGCTTGAAATTTGAAACTGGGAAGGGGTGGGGGTGGGCAAACGCCAAATTTCTGGCTCCCCTCCCCACTCGAAGAAGCGCCACTGGTACAATTGTATATACTTGGTAAGTTTAAAACGCTGCTTCAGCTTGTTGGTTGCCATGGTTAGGCTGAACATCTTCGCTTAAACCATCTAGAATACGTTGACTTATTCCTTGAGACTGAACTTATTAAGAATACAATGATTTATTCCTTGAGACTGAACTTATAAAGAATACGTTGATTTATTCCTTGAGACTAAACTTATAAAGAATACGTTGATTTATTCCATGAGACTGAACTTATAAAGAATACGTTGATTTATTCCTTGAGACTGAACTTATCTAGAATACGTTGATTTATTCCTTGAGACTAAACTTATAAAGAATACGTTGATTTATTCCTTGAGACTGAACTTATAAAGAATACGTTGATTTATTCCTTGAGACTAAACTTATAAAGAATACGTTGATTTATTCCATGAGACTGAACTTATAAAGAATACGTTGATTTATTCCTTGAGACTGAACTTATCTAGAATACGTTGACTTATTCCTTGAGACTAAACTTATAAAGAATACGTTGATTTATTCCTTGAGACTGAACTTATAAAGAATACGTTGATTTATTCCTTGAGACTAAACTTATAAAGAATACGTTGATTTATTCCTTGAGACTGAACTTATAAAGAATACTTTGATTTATTCCTTGAGACTAAACTTATAAAGAATACGTTGATTTATTCCTTGAGACTAAACTTATAAAGAATACGTTGATTTATTCCTTGAGACTGAACTTATCTAAAATACGTTGATTTATTCCTTGAGACTGAACTTATCTAGAATACGTTGATTTATTCCTGGAGACTGAACTTATCTAGAATACGTTGATTTATTCCATGAGACTGAACTTATAAAGAATACGTTGATTTATTCCTTGAGACTGAACTTATCTAGAATACGTTGATTTATTCCTGGAGACTGAAATTATCTAGAATACGTTGATTTATTCCATGAGACTGAACTTATAAAGAATACGTTGATTTATTTCATGAGACTGAACTTATAAAGAATACGTTGATTTATTCCTTGAGACTAAACTTACAAAGAATACGTTGATTTATTCCTTGAGACTGAACTTATCTAGAATACGTTGGCTTATTCCTTAAAACTGAACTTATACAATTATTGAAGTAATGGAATTGTGTTTTCAGGTTGGCAGACCATGTTCAAAGGAAATTCTCTGAATCAAACCAACATTTTGAGAATTTAAGTTTAGGTAGTAAAAGACCAACTGAGTTGATAAGATTGTATGGTAACTTATACACAGATGGTAGATTAGATGCTCTTGATGCTTTAGATGATTTAAAAGATTTAGAAGAACTGAGCATCTTAAAGACCAAAATATTATTTTCAATTATAGTGGTAAGTACTTTGAAAGATTTTCAAAACATCTTCAGAAGGAAGGCTATCTATTCAAACGCAATCTATTATAACAGGGTTAAGATCAGAATAAATTTTGAAAGGACCAAGTAGTATCCCCTTTCCCCTTTCAATCCTTAAACGCATAACTTCCAACGATCGTCGTTAGACCAATATGTTAATGAAGCAAAATGAAAGGAGGTCTTTTTTTTTCATTTAATTTTTCAGCTAACATTTCGGTCAACAGAAGAACTATTAGAAACAACTAAAAGTAAACTACGAGAGTTATTAAATATTCCAAACGATGTAACAGAGAGTGATAAACTGAGTTTAGATATACAGAAACATTTAGATCATTATTTACAACAGACTTTTGATAGATTTGAATTAGATTCACATGTCAAGGTATTATACATACTAAGAAGCATGTACTTATGATATAAAAGAAATAGCTCAAGAATTTCTATTTTTGACAAAGGCAGGTTGATTAGCAGACGGCGCTGGGATCTGCAAACTCACGTGTGTCAGAATCGTCATATATCGGCAAAGGAAGAAAACCTAACATTTGATCGGTTCAACTTTCCTTTACCAGACAAATTCTGGAAAAGCTTTTCATACATAATTGTATTTTGCATGATTGGGAACCAAACATCCTTTAGGTGCTCGGATTGAAAAAAAAATAATGCAGAATAGGGTTAAAAGCACTTCTAAATCTCTGGTCAATAAATACATATTTATTTGTTTTCAGAATGTTTGTGAACAGATTTATGAAACACTATTTGATTATCCCTGTTTAAAACAATGTGAAGGCTTGGTACAGTTTGTAGAAGAATGTTTACAAATATCACTTGGTTTGGTCGCTCAGAATCCCTCCTATATTATATGTTATACAGATACAGTATTTCAGAGAGATAGACATATTCGATTCCATACCTCTGATCCTGGTACAGATAAAATTAAAAACTTTATATGGCCATGTCTACTGGAAGGAGAAGAGGGAATTTGTGTGTCAAAAGGTTTTGTGATCACCTGATCGCTATGCCTTAATGACTTTTCCCCATGACTACCAATATGATCCAATCTCACTAACAATACTAATATTAAAAAGGTTTCGTCGTGTCGTTTCTGTATTTCTGATGGAGATAATGTAGGTTACTTTACTGTCAATTGTTAATCATATTCGTGTTTGTGCAATCGTTCACTTCACTGATTTGAAACGGTTGGAAATAATCCACACAGAGCATTACATTTTTTTATAAACCAATGGCGATGTTAGAAACGTCGAAACGTAAGGTATAATTATTAAGCTATGGAATATGCAATTTATATTCTATTATATGATGATGTCCCATACAGAAACCCTAACCAAAATTCGGCTTTCTTGTATTTCCTACACAGACTCCGAGCACTGTTAAATCTTGATCTGAAGTTTTTTTGACTTGACATTTTGGTAGTGTGTTAAATAGCACAGATAGGCTAATTTTACTTCATACCATTAAATTTCTGAACACATATTTACATATTAATTTCAATGTACATTGTTTTGCCAGCCAAGAGATTATATTTTGTAATTCTTTCACTTTCATATTTTTGCTATTAAACGTTGCATCACATTTTTCATTTCATATGTCATATATCTGCTTGCACTCTCTAAGACAGGATGTCCTTGTGTTACCACTGCCTGAAGACGTTCTGGGAGTCTTGTTATGGTTGTATGAATTTGAAAATATCTTTCCCTCATTATATGAGACCACAATCTATCCGTACAGTTTTTCTAAACCAGTGCATACCATTATAGACTTTTCGAATGTTATATATCTTCAAAGTAGAATATTATTTTCCTCCACTCAGCAATGGAGGTACAGTAGCAGTATATATTTCTAAACATAATCCAAACTTAAATGATTGTCAGCTCACGAGCTCGATGTTGCAGGGTTACTTATTTCCTGATGTACTGTCAATTGGATTAAAGCTTACCTAATAACATTGCTTTGAGTAAACCCCCCTTCTCTCTAAAAGTCAGCCATGCAGGTAGGTGAGGACGACTGGCATGAAAACACACCCAGTTGTTCAGATTGTGGAAAAACATGAACTGCCGATATGATACCAATTGGTTTATGGGCGTGGCAAACTATTGAAACTCTCGCTTTTGCACAATACTGCCTCAATGTCGGAATGATATTCTTCGAAAATAGGCAAAAAAAGATATGAAGTATGAAGATTGCACCATTTTCCTAAATCAAAAGGTCTCAACGCAAAATGTTACTTAAAATTAATAGAGAAAATTGTTCATTTTTGTTCACCTGGGAAACATGACAGCTCACAATAACAAACAAGGTGTATATCAATGAAGGTCTATATAAGATATATATTTAGAATATGTAAATAATGTTAGCTGTAAGCTAATAACCATATCAAGATTTCACGTTCTGTAAATGGAGATAATAGACTAAGCTCTAATTTCTAGTTTTCATCTAATTATTAATGATTTGTTAACGATCACGAACCTATTATGACATCTGGAATACCTATAATATATCAAATGTTTTATTTTAATGTGATACTTCCCCTAATATATTACTGTCATCTACTATTTATTAAGCCTCTTCACCTGTTCCATTATATACCCACATTGCCCTACCAGCAGGGCGGCGCAAGGGTTGGGTATCTGCAAACTAAAAATTTCAGTTTTATATTAAAATGTTCACTTATAGTTGTTTGGAAATATAGTTTAAATGGACAGAAACTCTCAATATAGCTCCCCATCCTCAAGATCCAAGTTCATCTTCATTTGTCGGCTATATCTTCATGAGAGAAATGAAATGAATTGAATGGAGTTTCACTTACTTTTCTGCTTCATGAGAGAATCAGCATAAATACCTAAAAATATGTCGATATGTTTTAATAAGTTAAACTGTAAGATGGAAGCTAAATTCTTTGGAAATCTATTTTCATACCTCAACCTTTTTTTTACCAATGCTGTTATTTCTATTCCCAAACGGTGTTGTCCTTTTTTAAGTGGCTTTCCGAGGACATATTGATACGACATATTGATTTTAAAACAACCCCTGTGAGCTATTGTGTACTGGTATTTTATCATCTGATCCGATATTCAAATATCAAAGCATCTTCAAGTTAATGTTACAGATAACAATACCTATATTAACTTCATTTTACAAATACCAGATCAAAAGGTCCCATCTGAATCTTTTATCCCAGCCTTATTATTCAAACCTCGAACATCTGTCAAAAGTTTTGTACCAAAAAAACTTATTCCGTATCTTTAATTGAATGGTCAGTCAAATATGATGACAGATTCTTATTAAAAGTCCTACGATAACCATTCTTCCAATATTTCATTGTAAAGGGGGTACTGGCAATCTGTCTTTTTTTTCATTTTATGTTTTTCGTGCCAATGCAATATAAATCATTCAAATTTAAATGCATTTTGCAATAATAAGTTCATGTAGTCTTGTATTTGTAGATTTCCAAAAATTATGCTTTGAGTTTGAACAGAGCGACGCACTAATGCCATTGATTTTATAGAAAATGCTGACACTGCACATTTTTCAAAAATTAATTGTAATTTGGAATAATTAGAAAGATATCTTTATTTTATTTCGGTGAATGAAATACAATTTCCTCCACACCCTTTCCACCGAAAAACAACACTGGTGAGGAATTTATGGCTGACCTGATTTTGTTAAGAAAGAGAATTAAAGATAATTTATGGCGAGGTTTAGAGTAGATGTCTCTCATTATAATATATTTATCAACACTTCATATTTTATAATATTTGTTAATGTTAAGACAAAAGTTATAAAGATCTAAATTATAAGAATAATGTGACTGAAGGTGGACTGTGAATTATTTTATTTACATTATTTTGTTAGTATACTCGAGGTGTATATGAAGTATGGCCCCCTATCATATTACACGTCCGGACGGCGACGACCAACCCTCTTCAGCTCACCTCATTGGCTGCCATGTCTACGAATTCAGATTGGGAAATTAATTAGGCAAATGTCTAACGTTGAATAAGTAGATAAATCTGATATAAGAGTTAGTTTCCTAAGTATTATGTGACATTCCTTTCGCTATTTTAACCACTGACTTTTGATGTTCTGGGGCTGGCAAGAATAACTATGTAGAAAAACAATGAGTTAGTGTGAGATTATTCTTGGCAAGAATGTACGGCTGTTATGTATATTGATGTAGTGATATCAGGTGTCTTGGTTGATAATGGTTTATCAAGACATTATTAGTTAATATTGACTAGGATAAGTTTAAGATTAAAAGATTAACATCTGATAATTAAAACAAGGATTATCGATTAAACTGAGCAGAAGACAGTTGAGGTGTATATTTGTGAGCGAGTGTTATTATAAAATCAAGGACCGCAGAAAATTTGGTTTTCTAATCCAAAGATAGAATTCCAAAATTCCATTCAAGGATTGATAATTCTATATCAAGGACATAATATAATTATATTACTACAAATCAAGGATTGTATTTCGTTTTCGAGTCGATGGTGGATTGTAGTGGAAATTGTTATGATTTGTGATAAGCCTTTAATACATGGCCAGTCAAATGACTAATGACATTGTTTTTGTAAACATTGTCCATGGACCATCAACTACATACAATTAAATTCACACGTTATTTGAATACGGAAACATTTTCTAGATCACTCATCTAAATCTGGCATATTAGGTTATGTGTGGTAGAAGTATTTTCTAGGATTAACTATGTCGCTACCAAGACGGTTTGATTCTAAAAGTAGGATAGACGGGCTGGAAGGAACACCGGGAATTTATCGTAAGCTAACGGAAGCAGAAGTTATAGCCGATTACATCGAATCTAAAAAGGGAGATCTCTTATTCAATGATAACGGACCGTCGAAAAACGTTTCTAAAGAAGAATCCACGGAGAACAGAACTGTTGAACATACGACATCGGTGAAATCTAGTTCCAGTATCACAAACATAGAGAGAGAACATCAAACTATTCTACAAGCATCATCACCAAGAGCAACATCAACACCTATATCTAAAACAACCACCAAACAGAGTTCAACATCAACACACAGAACAACCAAAACAACAGCAGCTCTTCAATTCTTCAAAGACAAGTACAGAACAAAGGATGACGACAATTCAATTGAAAAACAACAAAAGGATGATGGAAATACATCTTCGTCTTCATCAGCGTCCTCGGATTCTCCAAAAGAAGGTAAACCAAAGAGAAATAAGAGCTTGAATGTGGACAAATCTTTCGTTCCAGTGAATGATTATTACCAATTTTACCAGGTTAATAATCAACAGCCTGAATTTTTAACCGAGGAAAAGATTCAGATATTACGAAAGGATAATGAAATGATGATTAAACAACATGAATTAAAGATGCTCGCCGCGAAATACCACAAGCGTGCTGATTATAATCCTTATGACCAGATTGCTTATTTCGGTCCTGTCGTTCTCAATGAATCCGGAGAACCTCATATTCTCGATAACCCACAGTTTACTTCAGGTTTTCCTTTGGATGAAGAGGTGAGAACAGAATCGACAAACTTGTCAACTTTTAAACCTCACGTACAAATTGGGAATGTTGAGAAACAAGAATTGGACACGAAACCAGTTCAACTACATAGTTTAAAATCCAGCCCCAGTAGTACTGACAGTCAGAATGAAAATCATTGTAAAAATCAGAGGAGGCTTATGGGAAATGTACAGAAAAAAGACAAGAAGGATAGTTTGGAGAATAAAGATAGGAAGATGAGCTCAAGTAGTAGCAGCAGCAGTGAAAACGATAAAGAGAACGTGGAAAAGAAACATGACTATCAGACAAAACAGAGACCATGTTCTGCTACTGACAGTGATGAAAACACGAAGAAAGCTTCACTGCCAGTTGAACATAGTTTACTCAATGTCCTTGATCGACCTTCCTTAATAGCTGACTCAAATGGCAAGAGGAAGAGCTCTAGTAGCAACAGTGGCAGTGATAACGATGAGACGCCAAATGAACCCAAAAATTCTGGTAAAAACAGTAAAGATATAAATGTCACAAAACTCTATGTTGTGACCAAAGATAGAAAGGAATCAGCCGGAAGCAGTAGCCAAGAAGATTCGGGCCATATACAGGATAAGAACAAACGTGAAAAAACTCTGAAGAGAGACAGTATTAAAAGTAATAAAGAAGATCAAGGTCAGGGTAAAAGACCTGATTCTAAGGATTTCTCAGTTGCAGTACGACAGTACAGGAGACATTCCTCCAGCAGTAACACCAGTAATGGTGACAACTACATCGAGATACCAAGCTTACCAGCAGACCATGGAGAGCAAAGCGATCAGAGACAGCTACCTCTGCCTTTACCAATCTCTTCTTCACCAAGAGGAAAGAATTCGTCCAGCAGCAGTAGCAGTAATGAAAATAGTGGCGATAATAATTATATCGAGATACCTACATTACCACCAAGACTCGGAAAGAAAGGGGAACCTATTCCACTTGATCCTAATGATATATCCATAACAAGTCTGATAGTTCATTTCTACAAAATATCCCTACTGATAATACATGTGAGTATTCTTTAATTTCTAATCAAACATGAATTATAGATTTTACCTTGGTTAGTATAATATAATAAGCCATAAAAGGTATAGGGTTTGATATCCAAGGACCCTTCTCGAATGTGATTTTCTCCGCTGATATGATTTATTTTTCAACTGCATTCTTCAAAAGATGAGTAAAATACTTTGGTGGGCCTTTGTTTAACCAGCTGATAGTCTGTTATTCCAATTTTTAACGAGGTTTTGTGAAAGTGTTAGAATCATTTTACCTTTTAAATTTTCATACCATATTAATTTCCTCATATCTGAGATGTTTTCATTCATCAGATGTTTGGTGAGCGGATATTGATATAGGTTACCTAGATTAACATACATGTTACATTAAATAATGTAGTATGTGACACACCATTCTTCATCATGTCGTCCGAACATGTTTTTTCTCTTGTTAATCGGTTATATTATAGTACCCTCGTAAATTAGATAGATGTCTTTCTTATGATATGAAAATCTAGCACATGTATTCAAATATCTGACGTACTCTAAATCCTGAACTTGTTTAATTGACCTATTATGGATTCAATTTGCGATCTTGCAATGCATTCCGGATCTAAGAAAAATCACTCAAATAGAGAAAAATATGAATGTTTTTGAAACCGAATACAGGATCCTATGATAGCCCTATGATAGGGCTGAATATTGATCCTGTATTCGGTCTCACATTCGTTTGATCTCTTCATGTCTCACATGTCCATAATTAATTCATAATTAGCTAAACAAGAAATACCAGCAGAATTCCAATGAGTGACCGATCAAGAAAGGTCTTAAATGTATTTTTTGTTTATCCAGACTGTACAAACACAGACATTTATGATTGGTTAAAACTTTTAGTTATATGCAAAAAGAATATAATGATATGGTTAAGAATACATGATAATTCATTAAAAACACCAGTTAATCTAATAGTTTGCTTAATTTGACACTAGAAAAAAAAAAAACCCATCTCAAAATGTAATGAAATTATAGTCGTTTGCATTACGCTGAAAGAAATGATACGGCTTTGGAAGAAATATTTGTTAGGGTTAACCAATTTGAGCATAACATTCACATTTACTAATAACAAACCTTACTTAATTTAAAGGTCAAGTATCATGGCCCTGTGGTTAATAAAACAAACAAACAGTTTAGGATAATCTGTAACTAAACATTGAGAAAATAGTCAACAAACTAATTCTACTTATCATTCCATTATACCTGTATAGTATAGGTATATATATAATACCAGATTTTCACAAGTTGTCCTGTAAACAGATTTATCAATGTCCACTATTTTAATACTATAATAGTCAATTAGTATAGAAACTGGACAGCAAGACTCTATGTGTCAGTCTGATGATCCGTTAGCCAAAAAACATGATCGGATCTTTTGTAATTTTTGCGTTTTCAACACCAATACATTTTTCATTAGTAGTCTCACTTTATTCAAATATTTTTAAGGATTAATGTAACATTGGAGAATGTACACTACTTTGATTTTCCCAAAAATGAATTGCAATACATGGAGTGAAATATTGAACCTTTTATGGTCGTGATTAAGAAATCAATTGGGCTGCATCTACGTCATGTCATTACTTGACAGATTTTTGTAACCATTTTAAGATATTTTTATTACCTAATAAAGAACTTGACATTATTTTAAAGTCAATATGATTATATATAGATTAACTCTGGATTGGACATTATAAATAATCTTTATATACTTATATACATATAGTCCATATTAATATCAGCACTTGGGGGCGCCACCTTAAGAGAAAGGAATAATATTAGTACAAGCGTTGACCTCTTATTTCAAGAATGTGACCTAATGACTCTATGGAATATTATAAGGCTTGTAGATGTGTGGTCGTGGTTAAAGAAATTCAACTTGGATATAAGCCAAGTAGTTTTATCTATGTGTGAGACACTCCGACACATCAAGACAATGGGCTATGAATTTATTGCAATAAAGATAAAAGGATCCAGTCACACCTGTTGGCATTTTTAAACCATCGTTGCTCTTATTGCGTCCCTTTTATTTAGCGATTTGTATTCCTTTCACTGTTGTCAAAATTATTGTGACCACTAAATTCAAAAGTTAGCCTATATCCCTTCAGAATTGTTCAGCTTAATGAAAAGGGCGATGGCAGATATTTGATGTTTGCTATTTCTTGAGCCACGCAAGATTAAATGGACTTGATATCTTCAACAGTGCTTTAGGAATCAAGCTTGACATTCACACTTAATCTGACACAGAATCTAGACTTGCATGGGTTGGAATGACTTTATTGACAAAAGTGTCTCATCCAAAAGAGAGAAACAATAATTTGATGGCATCTTAAAACTGCAAATGTAAGTAAATTATGTGCAGGTGGGACGAATCCCAAAATGACATTTCAGGAATCTTTTTCACAGAAAATTCACCAAAAGTTTTGAAGATATACAAAATAATTCAGGTTTCATATTCTTCGTCCCCAGGATAGAATAAGTAGGAGTTCATAGAGTTAATCACTTTAAGGCACCAATATTACACCATTACTCTGAGGAATTCAACTCTTCATAAAAGGAAACAACATAAAACAATAAGTATCGTAACTTCCGGTTGAGATAAGTAGCGGAAGGATATAGAGTTTTTCTTTTAGAAGCAGGATGCTAAACCGTTCACAAAATATGCATGATCTCTCTGATCTTGAGTGTCAGTAAGAAATCAAAATAGCGAATGCAAATATCACAAAACTACACTTTCACAATCTGTTACTCTTGATAACTTTATACAAAATGGTTAATTAAAATAGTGACAAAACTAAAATTTTGAAATTACAAAAGGTTCAGTATGATGTATATATGGATTTTAATTCCACCACTCCTCAGAACTCAGAACTCTCAATATTTTAATATTAATGATGAAATTTTGTCCGTCAATCTACCCTTCTGGGCTTAACAAAGAAAAACACTAGTAGGGAAACATGTCATAAAGGTCAAAGGCAAATTTGTACTATTTATGCATATGGCAAGGGCAATGTGTTTCAATATCGGGGTAGATTTTTAGTTATTTGAAATGTAATAGAAATGATGAGTTGTATCTAAGGCTAATCCAGAAAAATCTGAAACGTGTACTTTTTTGCAAAAGGTTTTAGAGGTTTTTTAATCAAAGATTTTTCCTTCAACTGACACAAAAACTCCACAGTCACAATTCACCGTTATGAAATGAAATTAAATGAATGGAGTTATACGTTCTAGTCCTGTAACTTGTGGGATAGTGAAGATAATCGTGCAATGGGGGAAATTTTGCCAAGACAGACTTCCAGCTGTCGAGGGATCTTAAACGTACACAGCCTGTAGCTATGCCGGGATTGGGCCTTGGACACTCAGGTTTGTGAGCAAGCGGTTAAATCACTGAGCTACCGCAGCACCCTGATTACCTTTAGAGGTTTGTAATGTTAGTCAAATAGTCATAATACCTTTTTACATGATCTTGTTGATAGGTTGTTGCTTTTTAGACTAAAATATAAATTAAAATACGCTAAACTCTACATGTTTTGACCTAGTTTTAATTTAAAATCTAAATATTTTGTAAAATAATATTTGAAATATGACCAATATGACTAACAATAACAAATTGTTGGTGATGATTTCACGAAGTGATCAACTTTGTCAGCCTTGCATATTTGTGATGGCATAGAGTTCGAGGTCGTTTGTCTCACTTTAATCCCATAAATTAGACAGGATAGATTCTGTTCCATTCATTACATACGAACAAAACAGTACGATCTTGACCAAAATGTGAGTTATTATATTATTGTCTTATATTTTAGATTCCGAGCCGTATGAAATGGAACCCAAGCAGCTAGGACCTAATGGTATTGGCATGGAAAAGTTAGAGGCTCAAATAATTACAGATGTTTCACGGACACCTACTCCCCCTCCACTACCGAGCAGTAATCCACCACCATTACGTAAAGATATCCCCAGTGACTACAATATTGAACACACGATAAAGAAGATAAAAGACAGTAATGACACGCCCCTACCAGAATATGAGGACGAAGTATTTGAAGCTAAAATGACACCAAATTACCATGGTATAGATAGCCAGTATTTAGAGAATGGTTCAGTTGAGATAAGAAATAATAAAGAAACTCAATTAACTAACGACTTAAAACAGCCAAGAATACACATGGATATACAACAACAACCAGACAAGGCTAAAAGAAGACATTCTTCACATAGTAACAGTTCCAGCGATTCTTCCAGTGACGATGGCAAAGAGAAACTAAAGACCCATTCCAAAAATGTGCTACCATTGGCTAAATCAAAGGATTGCAATATTAATGCAAATGGAATGACTGGTGACAAACAAAGATCACCAAGTTCGGATAGCAGTTCACCAGACACCAAGAAAAAAGAAGACAAACCATCCCCACCACCTAGAAAATTAAAAAAAGAAGAAGAAGAACACAAGGATGTGGTAGATACACCAACACAAACGAACGACGATGTTGATACGACAGATAGAGAAGTCCAGGTTTGTGAGGATAGTTTGGAAGGCAAAGATCTTAAAGCAGGAGATTATTTGGATTTTTCAATTAGTACAAGTGAATCTCCATCAGCGTTTAGTACACCAAGGGGACCTTGTAACAAGATCAGATCTGTGTCTTCGTATTCCAGTTCATCAGAAGACGAAAATAAAAAACCGTATAAAATTAAGGGTTTGCCTAAACAGGATATAAATCACAGAGAACTGTTTCCTGCAAAACCCAAAGAAGATTCTCCAAAGGTAGGAACTGTTTTGAAAAATGATAATACACCAGCTCTGCCTCTGAAACCAACTGACAAATCCGTTTCTAGCTCTGATTCTATTTCTTCGGAAAATATTACATCTTATAACGTTAATCCAGAAAATGAATCGGATAAAGATAAAAAGCTCGATGTATCAAAAGATAAAACTTCGGAACATGAAGTGGAGATCAAAGTACCAAAAATACCAAAACGTAAAGATAAGAGCCAACCACCAGAAATCCCAAAACGGAAGACAAAACAGACCTCTCAAGAAAAAGAAAGCAAAGACAAAAACAAAGTTGGTAGTCATAGCAGTAGTAGTAGTTGTAGTAGCTCAGATTCTGATAGTGATGAAAATAAAAATTCGAAGAAAGAGAAGTCAAGAAAACAGAAAACAAAAAGATCTGATTCGGGCGGAATTCGGGCGAAAATTGAAGAATTTTTCAAAAGAAAGGACAAGAAATCAAAACCCGACAAAAAAGATAGAGAGAAGAAAAAATCGACTACAGATGAAGAATGCCAAAAGGAAGTTGCAAAAGTAAATAACACTCAACCACCGGTATCTCGTTCTCCCGAAAATATTTATGAAGAACTGATCGTGCAAAAAGGAAAAAATAAAAATCTTTCACCTTCAAAAACATCTACTAATAATTCAGCAGAAACTGAGACACTAACAGTTGATTTACCAAGCTTTAAGGGTGAAGTTGACCTTAAAAATCACTCTGGACAAAATATTGATTTGCCAAGCATAAAAGGTGGTGCTGACATTGGAAAACCTTCTGTGGGATTACCTAATATTGATTTGCATAGCTGCAATGCCGACATTGGAAAACCTTCTTTACCAAGTGTGAATTTACCAAGCATTAAAGGTGATCTAGACATTGGGTCTTTACCAAGTGTGAATTTACCCAGCATTAAAGGCAATGTCGATGCTGGGAAACCTTCTCTACCTGGCGTCGATTTGCCCGGCTGTAATGTCGACATTGGAAGCCCTTCTTTACCAAGTGTGAATTTACCTGGTGTTAAAGACGACGTCGATGTTGGGAAAGCTTCTCTACCTGGCGTCGATTTACCGAGCTGTAATGTCAACATTGGAAAACCTTCTTTACCAAGTATGAATTTACCTAGCGTTAAAGGAAATGTCGACATTCGGAAGCCTTCTTTACCAAGTGTGAATTTACCTAGCGTTAAAGGCAATGTCAACATTGGAAAACCTTCTTTACCAAGTGTGAATTTACCTAGCGTTAAAGGCAATGTCGACATTGGGGAGCCTTCTTTACCATGTGCGAATTTGCCAAGCGTTAGAGGCGATGTCGACAAATGTAGACCTTTTGCGTCTGGCGTCGATTTGCCTAGCTGTGATGTCGACATTGGGAGACCTCTGCCAGATGTCAATTTATCCAGCAGTGGTGATAAGCCGTGTATACCAAATGTGGAAATACCTAAACTTAACGGTGATATTGGCATTGGTATACCTTTAGTACCAACAGGTAATGGCGACGTGTGTTTTGAGAAACCTAATTCCAAAATAGATTCACCTAAAGTAGATTGTGATGTGAAACTTACAAAGCCCAGCATTCCAGAGGTTAATGTTACAAGAGAAGAGCAACCAATTTCATCAAATGCAAAATATTCTATTCCACCGATAGATTTGTCTGGATTTACTGATGATAATAACAGTCCGATTCATAAAACTATTGTATCTGTTCCTGGTAACGCTGTACACACGACTTCAGGGGAACCACAAAAACCTAGTCGTAAAGCAAGAAGTCATAAAAATAATAAGGACGACGACGGAACCAAGAGAGAAAAGGGTTCGAGAAAGAAAGACAAAGGTAGGAGAAAGAGATCAGTATCTTCGTCAGCATCATTAAGTAGTAGCAGCTCATCCTCCAGTAGTCATATTATTGATACATCTCATGATAACAGTATTATCATAGAACAATCTCAAAATCATACACCAGAGAAACAAAAGATAACAGACAATATACAAGCTGCTGTTTCATCACCTCTGACTATCACCCCATCTGTAACAGTCAAATCGCCATCTAAAGATATTTATGCAACACCCAATAAACTTAAATCAGAGCACCTGGACGTTGGTATACCAGAATCACCCTCTGAAGGAAACCATTTCGTTGTTGTTGCCATTGACTTTGGTACGACATTTAGTGGATATGCCTTCAGTTTCGTGAGAGATCCAGAGAATATTTTGATGATGAGAAAATGGGAAGGAGGTGATCCAGGAGTCATCAACCAAAAGACACCAACCATCATTTTATTAGAACCTCATGGAAAATTCCATTCCTTTGGGTTTACTGCCAGAGATGCCTACAACGATTTGGACCCAAAGGATGCGGCTTCCTGGCTGTATTTCGACAAGTTTAAAATGGTTTTACATCACCAATCGGTAGGTACAATTTTGCAATATAAACAGTTACATGTATTAGAATAATTACTCAAAATAGTCGGTAATATTAAAACCGAGAAGAAGTTGCTATCCCTGTTAGGAAGATCTTAAGAATCATTGTATATAGAAACTCCTGAGGTATTTTTGACTTTTCTCTTTGATTTGAATGATTTTAAAATTGATTTTTTCTGCAATTGTACTTTGTCCATAATAGAAGCTGGCGTTCTATACACTCTAGATCTAGTTGACAGTGAGTTAACACGTAAAATGTTGTAATGATAACTGTGTATGTAGGTCATGGAGTGTAATTAGAATGTGATATATATGTGTATTCTGATATTAATTACTTTTCCTCAACACCCTTATCTCTATACTCTAGAAAAGACCAGCCAGCCTAGCTACAGGTCATGTATGTTAATCGTGCTAATGTAGACCTTCAACTCATAAACAATACCTACTCTTGTTTTATTTTTTATGAATAACATTTAGAATTCAAATGAGATTTGGATTACAAATATTTCTTTAGTTGACTAAATTTCGCATATTTCAGATTCCTTTGAAATACCCCAATTCTGGAATTAAGTCAAATTGCTATACACCTATCAATCTACTTTGTTTCACTTCAAGATCAAGAATTTGTTTTATTTGATAGATGGACATGCCTTCCGTCCAAAATATATACCCATAATTTCCACCTTTTGGTTCGACATGCTGCAATATCCAATATAAATGTGTATGTTTGATTTGTCACTTGCATTCGATTTTGATGACAGCTTTGTGACTTCAATTTAACTATCATCGTCATGTTACATGTTTTTATTTCAAGGAGTTAACGAAAGACACAATGATTGCTGCCAGTAATGGAATGATGTTTCCAGCTCTCAACATTTTCGCTTATGCCCTCAAATTTTTAAAAGATCACGCTCTACAGGAATTGAGTGATCAAAGTGGGTTTGAAATAGTCAATGAAGATATCAGATGGGTAATAACTGTTCCTGCCATTTGGAAAGCACCAGCTAAACAATTCATGAGACAAGCTGCTTATAGTGTAAGTTTCCGTTATTATTTCCTTAGATGTTCTGACATATCACCACGGGCACTTTAAAATATGCAATTATCCGTTTGAACAGAAAAGCAAATACGAATGGATAAATGACATCAGTATACACTATTTGCAAAATAACAGATATATGGTCAACCTAAAGAACGATGCACAACTGCTTTATGTCCACTGAAAAACTGAGTTGCATTAGTTTTCGAAGTCATACCAATATTGGCATTCAGATGTGTTATACCATGTTTCTTCAAATGGTTCATAGAAATACGGGTTACAATTTGTGTTGTAGGCGAGCCTGGTGTCATCGGATTCACCTGATAAACTATTGATCGCATTAGAACCTGAGGCTGCTTCTATATATTGTCGAAAGTTAAAAATGCACCAACTGATTCCCGAGTATCCTATACAGAGACCACTACAGTCACCAAAACATGCTCGACCAGAACAAATAGATACTTCCGACGCCTGTAATATTGATGCAGGTAAATATAATATGCAGCACATTGATCATAACTTTTGTGAGAGTCGTTTGGAGAAAAGGTCAAATGACAATTATTAGCAAGAATATGAGATTGCAAGAGCTGTAGATTATTTGATAAAACGTATTCTGTTTCTGCAATGGGCGGACATGCAGCGAAGGTGATGTGCATGAATAAGTGAATCCCATCCTCTTATTATCCTCCAATTCCACAGACTCTCATCCATGGTTTTATAGCCTCTGGCTTATTAATTTAAATTATGCTTTCAGAAAAAATACCAACAGAATATAGTTTTCCGTTACAATTATCTCCAAACCAAACTCTGGACTCTTCAATGAGAGGTGTGGTATTAACACATCAACTGCTTTTTCATTTTTATGTTCACAAACTACATACTATCTATCGCTCGGGTTTGTTCTTTCCAGATATATCACAAATCTGTCCCAAACCCGATATCACAATCTCAATATCATATCATATAATATATTCATATTCCGTCTATATCACTATTTCTCAACGCTATCACATTATTTTAATCCCATCTCAAACCTATCTCTTTCATTTGGAACTTATAAAACAATATTTTTTCACAACAATATTTCAGACATGTCACTCTAATATAATCCGAATATTCTGCTTCCCACTCTCAAAGATAAATTTCTACTTTATCACAATGATATCAAAACTCTTGTCCTAACATTATCACAATATCAAAGCTTCTCTTTTACGTGAACCTAACGACTAAAAGTCTAATTTATCAAAAAAATATCTCAGTCTTGTATCTAACTCTAGGACATCAATCCTAAATAACAACTTCATTACAGCGATATCTAGGTCTCAGTCACATATACACAATATCACAATAGCTTCCCTTGTACACCAATCTTAACGTCAAATGTTCACTTTGTCGCTTCAACATTATCACAATACACGAGCTTTTCTGCACATTAATCTAAAGGTAAATGTCTTCTTTATCACAAAAATATCTGAGCCTTGTCACTCTTACATTATCTCAATATTCCAGCTTCTCTAGTACATCAATCTAATGGTAAATGTCTACTTTATCACAACAATTAGTCAACCTAGAAACTCTAATATTATCACAATATCTCAATAGCTTCTCTAGTAGATCATTCTTTACAATAACTGTCTACTCTATCACAACATTATCTCCGTTTTGTTACTTAACATTATTACAATATCCCAGCTTCGATGTTACATCAATCTTGACGATTTCGTATGTATTTCGGTGTACAAAAGTACATGCAATTTCTCAGAAAGCTCAGTGTATATACATTTAGAATTACTATTATACATTGCTGCACAGGTGGTTTAGTCGGTAGTTTGGTTCCAGGTACTATTGTGATGGTGATTGCCTTATAGTATTTATTTTTTTCTTTCAGCTTCTGAATTCGGTGTGTATTTGGGTATAGGTTGTACTTAAGATCATGTCAATCTTTCATTAAAGACATAATAATATATAGTCTGTAATTTGTTTAACTAGCTTTATATAACTTAATGTATCTTAATCCATGTCTCTGCTCTAAACAATTACTTCTTCGTTATTTTTACTTTTACTTTATTCAAATGCATATGGTTATTTCGGAATCGAATGTAATTATTCAACCTGAAATCAAATTTCGTTATCTAAATGAATCTTCTTTTCTTTTTATTATTTGATCTGCTAAAAAAGGCATTCCGGATAGTAACATATAATACACAATATAATATGCTGATTATACAATTCTGTCAGTTTAGGTTAATTTTTTGTGATTCATATTTTATTTTTATAGTCTTATGCATTATTATGTACTGTCGACTAAAATTAATAAATACTACATTACAATATTTACTAAATACCTGTATTTTCAGATTGAAATTTTATCGAAACAAGTTTATTTTCACAAATTTGTAAGCTCTGTGATGCTTGTTATATTTATTTATCTGCTCTTTCTAATTTATAACATTTAAAGATGTGGATAGGATTATTACCGATTTCGGTTAGTTACAAAGTTTTATTTTTCCACGGTTCACCTAAACAAGATACAAAGTGTTGTTATTTAATAGAACTTAGAATTATATAGTGTCTTGCCATTCAACTCATTATATAATTATTTGTGTTTATTGTATCAGGGACGAGGTATATGGTAGTAGACTGTGGTGGAGGTACAGTAGATATTACTGTACATGAACTCAATCTTGATGGTAAACTGGTAGAACTTCATAAAGCAACTGGTGGTCCATATGGAGCAGTAGGTTAGATAATTCAGATATAATTGAAAGTAAATGGTTAATATATATGCAAAATAAACATTTTGCCATTCAAAGATCATTTTCGTTGTTCATGGTCTACGCATTATTTTCACTTACCCTCTTTCTTGGACTAAAATGGAATAATTTTTTTCTGATCCACGAGACGAAGACATAGCTTAAAAGTAATACTCCAGTATACAAATTCTGAGATGCTTTTTATACGCCCATGTGAATATTTGGTCGTATATTGTCGTTGCCCCTGTCCGTCGGTCAGTCCGTCAACATTTCTTATGGGTACATTAGGGACTTAGATGGCTGTCAAGTTCGAATTTTGCGATTTTTCGATGAATGGTGATCATTGGGATTGATAAGATGGCGGCCAAGTTCGAATTTGACGATTTTTACCCTTAACTTAGGAAAAACGTGTCAAAATTTGTTTGTGAACACAATAGTGACTACAGTTTCCAACTGATTTTAATGAAATTTGGTGTGATCATTTATATTGATGAGATCATGGACAAGTTAAAATTTGACGATCTTTCAATGAACGTTTTTTGAGTTATTGCCCTTGACTTAGGAAAAACGCGTCAAATATAGCAGTGAGCACAAAAGAGACTAGTGTTCATGTTCAAATTTGACGAGAGGTTTTTGAGTTATAGCCCTTGACTTCAATAAAATGCTTCAAAATTTGTTCATAAGCACAATATAGACTACCGTTTTCACCTGATTTTTTGGTAATTTAGTGTGACGATTTATGTTGATAAAAGAAATGAAATGAATGGAGTTTTAGGTCTTTTTTATTTATATTGATTAGATCTTAGTCAAGTTTTCGATAATTTCTCTTTTAACAAGTTTTTGCCTATGATATTAGAGCTGTGTGATATGATGCATTTGGGTTATTGATATTGATTTTAAAACATTTTGTGGAATTACTCAGCATAAATAACTAGTAGTAAATATATATCATTGAATTCAAACTAATAAAATGTCTTTAATATGAGAAAATTGGTACTTCAGTCATTAAAGAATGTTTTATCATTTCTGACAGCTGCCAGTTGGCGTATGTTAACTTGCCTGGCAAGCTATCTTTCTTTTTGCAGGTGTCGATATTGAATTCGAGAAGTTGTTATGTTGTATTTTCGGAAAGGAATTTATTATAAACTATAAACAGCGATATCCTGTGGGTTGGGTTAATTTGATGGCCAACTTTGAATCCAGAAAAAGATCAGCCAATCCAACAAAACCATCGTCTTCAAATATTTCGTTGCCGTTTTCATTTATTGATTATCACAAGAAACATAGAGTAAGTATGAATACCTCAAGGATAATTTGGTACGAGCAATCTGGGAAAGATCTGTGCCAGGCCAAGTTCCGGTCTCTAGACAGGATTTTTGGATACCTTAATTGTTAAGGGTTGTCTCGTTCTTTTTAATAGACAACCAAACAGATACATGCTAGTAACATAACTCTGCAAGGCCGCATGTATTCTTAATGACTATTCAAGATCATTCGTCTTCTGGTCAATCTCTCCAATACTTCTGGAATTTCTAAGGAATCCAAGCCATCTGACCTAATCTAAAACGTATTTGTATTATAATTGAAGGGGAGACAAGTAGAAAGTATGGTCAAGAAACATGGTGATAAAGATGTGCGATGGTCAGCTCAAGGAATGTTACGACTCAGTCCTGAAGCTATGAAATTATTATTTATACCAACCATTGATAAAATAAAACAGGCTATTGGTGATGTTATAAATCATCCAAATGCTAGAAGTGAGTTGTTGTCATCTTGACAAGAATCATTCAAACTGTTACAGTTGCTTTTAGTATTATATCGCCTTCAACAGAGATCCTGCTCATTTGTTGCACTGATGCCACTTAAGCTCTTCATGGTGCCGATGTTGATAGCTTCGCTGATTTTCGGATTTTTTTCACCTGATTCAGCAATACGTTTCAAATAAGATATCATTTTTGGGGGCATTCAGTTGATCTGGACCAGATACAATTTGATTTTAACCAAATGTCAATGAGGTGTGATCGATAATTATGTTATACCTTTTAGGGTTGAAGTATATGTTTTTAGTCGGTGGATTTGCTGAATCTCCGATAGTCCAACATGAGATCAGAAAAGAATTTGATAGTAATAAAAAACACATTGTAAAGGTTTTAATACCACAGGCTGTAAGTCTGGCCATATTGAAAGGTAATTACATGCTAAAATGTTATTATACAATATCTATAAGAAATCAAGTGTGTGTGTGTGTGAAATTCTGTGAAAAAAAGTGATAACCTAATTTGTAAAAGCAAGTTTTAGGCTACTCTTTTATTTACATTGCTTGAAAAATGAAAATGATTTTAAAACAAAAATTAATGAAACTTTTTTTTTAAAAAAACGCTTCATTTTCTGAAGCAACCAATGCATACTCCCACTAATCAACTCTTGAAATCTCCAAAGAAACTGGTCACGTTGTTTGATGTATATATTCATTCCTTTTAGAATTTAACAGCCTAGAAGGTAGTTTCACAAAAATCATAATTTTAATGAATCTGCTAGTAACAGTAAAGTAACAGCTATGTGTAATCAAATAATGCATTATTGTATCATTTCTAATGACTAATGTGTTATTTGTTCTAGGTGCCGTTATGTATGGATTAGATCCTACAGTAGTCAATGTAAGAAGATCAAGATTGACGTATGGTATTGGTGTACTTAATAGATTCGATACCGAGAAACATCCTCAGTCTAAACTAGTTACCAGAGATGATAAAGAATGGTGTACTGATGTGTTCGAGAAGTTTGTAGTCACTGATGAGCCAGTAGCATTAGGAGACGTCGTATTAAAGAGTTACACACCAGCTGTTTCAGGACAAAATAAAAGTATTATCAATATATATTGTAGTGAGGATGAAAACGTACAATTTATAACTGATATTGGTGTCATGAAATGTGGCACTTTGACTCTTGATCTGTCAGAAAATGATATTGACGTTCTGCCATACAGACGTGAAATACAGATCCTTATGTGTTTTGGTGACACAGAAATTAAAGTCAGTGCACAGGATATTTCAACAGGCCAAGTTGTGAGAAGCACTATAGATTTCTTGAATAAGTAACTTAGAGACATATTTATTGCCGATTAAGTTCAATTTTCATGCTATCATAGCAGCCTTAAACTTATTCATTGCCGACTGAAATTGAACTTTAAAGCTATCATTGTGACCGAAGCTAATAAAATTGACAAACACGTTAAAATAAAGTATCATTGGATTAACTAATCAGATTATTATATTACTTTATAGTGTTTCAAGTATGCTTAGTAAGGCTACATGCGTTTACTTTATTTTGAAATCAATTTGTACACACATTTTCACATTGTAACGTAGTATTATACAATTATAATTTATTTCATGTAACCAAATTACAAATAGTCAAATTATCAGACAGTATTAGAGTTTATCATAGTATAGTACAATTTTTAAGCTAATTGTTATACAGTATATAATATTATAAATATGAAATCCGTACCATTAAAATATATATTTTAACATCTTTTTCTTTCAACAATATGAATAGCAATCTCAAAAAAAGAAAGGAAGGGATAAATTTACTAGCCTCTGGTAAATTCATGTCATCAATTCCTGTGATCTTTTTAGGTTGGCTATAGGTTACTTCGCTGTCATTTTTCTTTGTCAATTGCATAACTGCAGAAGCGATCCGATGAGTTCTCTCTTGTAGACAATCTGGACAAATGAGTATGTATGAGTATGTAGTCGTAGATCTGGGAAGTGAAGTGACATGAACAATAAGTAGTGTGCTGTTCAGGGATACCGAAAAAATTAAGACAAATTACCTAAAATACAGAGCCAAATATTTCTTGGAACTGTCGTTTTCAGTTTAGAGTCTGCTGTAAGCTTTTACAGTAAAGTAGATAAACTTAGTTGCAGTTGGAAAATTCGTGACCTCCATCATGTTACAGTGTCAGGAAATCATTTAGTTATCGGGGAAGGGAAAGTTTGATTCTCCCAAATGTACAGGATAAAACAAACAATTTATTGAGAAATTGGAATAAACTTTCTAAAAAAACTTCTTCCGTTCTTCACGAAAGGCGGGTTGGAGCATTCCGGAAGTCGAAACTCGGAATGTCCAGACCCGGCTTTCGTAGTTCTGAAATTAAATAAAATAATAACTTTCCCAATAGTTTGATATACATGTAATTTACTAAAAATATTTTATGAACAAGGTTCTCATTTAATTAGGCTTAGTTCCGATTCTTGAATATGAGACAATCATCTTTTGTTCGTAAACATGGAGTAAAATAATGGGCATTGAATATCTTACTTGTTCAATTACTGGTGGGATTAAAATGAGATAACAAAGGGTGCCTTGTCTGCATTATAGCGAATATACAGTCCTATCGGTCTGTATTTATTGTCTCGATTCAATGTGTTGCTCTTATAGCTTGGCGGAATTTCGTAGTTTCATCTGCATGTAGGAGATGCTCCTCGCTCGATCGGGTTCCTTTTCTTCGTGGAGTTCCTTAAAGAAAACCGAGTTTCTGATATAAAGGAACATGTTTGGCATCTACTTTACAGACATGGGTCACTCCTTAAACCTTATTTCGACACAAAATCTGTTCGTAGCTGCTATCTCCGCTAAAGTGGAACATTTTATTTTCGTAAATCGCTACGCTCTTTCAGTTTTGAGAAAATGTTGCTGTTATTCAGAGGCTATCATATTTCAAGCAGATTCTATTCCAAATTAAAATACAGATTCAAATTTTAGTTTTCGTAAGGTTTTTCGTTTCACCTTTTTACAACACCTATTGATACAATCTAATTGGTATCGAATGGATGCCATCAACACGAGATAAAATATCGAAGTATCATGAACAATAGTTTCTATAGCAATGACGAGGCAAGTCAAGTCCAGAATTCTCGACAGGTACATTTTAAATTCACCAGTAATATTTAGGACAGTTTGAAAGATGGGTGGAAAGGATTTTAGAAGGAAAATGCATCGCAGAAGGACATCAACAACAATCAGTCCAGAAAGTGATGAACTAGGCATGAGTTCTTCAACCATAATTATTTCATTTATGGTGGTAGTTGTTGCGTTTTGTAAAATGGTTATTTTAGCTCTCTATATAATGCGACTACTGAAAAATAGGAGTCGGAAAAGACCAGTTAATAAAAGAAATAGCTGTAAGCCAGTACCATGCAATGGAACTGGTTAGTCACATTCTGTTGTTCTATTTATACCAGCTAATGACCAAGGTAATGATATAACTGGATCTTCTACTTCACCGTGCCGTCTAGCAGTCAATGTAAGTCCACAACGAACCCAAGAAAATCTTAGACCCGTTACAACTAGAATACGTGATAATAATATAGATCTTTTCCTCATTTTTACACCACGTAGTGAGAACAACCAACCATTACTGACATATACCGTACCAAGCCATACAGCCAAAACCAAATGGAATATTGTTAGACGATTGAGGCATAAACTATCAAATCCTGAAATGTCACAAACAGCATTTACAGTTCAAGGCACATCGTCTGTCAACAACGTTAGAGAATACGACTACATTAGTACCTTTACAAATCAAGGGCTACCTTCTGTTGTAGGATACGGTTGTATTGGTCCGTACAAGCAAACTATTGAAAATGAATATGTCAACGTAATGACGAATCGAATGAATACTTCTCCTACTAAAGCTCAATCATTAGCTCCTCCATCTTATTCCATGGAAGCCAAATTTTAATATGATCAGTGTCTGAAACTGACTTCCACATGATGTATTCATCAAAACCACTAAAGCCCTGTCTAAAATTACTGATTAAAAACGATCACACAGATCTGTTCAACGCTAAATTTAGGACCAATTTTAAAAGTTTATTTCAAAAATATTCAGATTATATTTCAAAATAAGAGAAGACAGTTGGCAAACAGCTTTGAAACTTTTACAAGAGTTGATCGTAGGCGGATAATCCAGGAAAGATCAGTGCTATTATATCAGAATTGTGTGTGGTCTTACTTCAAAATGTATTTTTTTGTTATGAATGTCGTGACATTATTCCTGTAGCTGTAGCTTATAACAGAATTCATAAGTAAGATATGGAATTATTTACTGTGGATTCTGATTGTTTCCAGGTTGTTGACATAACATACAAAATCCTACATAAAAATAAGCACATTGTCATCTTACGCCTAATCATTATTTTTTTAAAGAATATTTGGATAGTTCTTTCTTCTGCTCAGTTGCTCTAATCGAGTGTAAGTAATCAAAATCATTATGATGAACTTAATTTGGAAAGATGAAAACTCACATGGATGCGATTAACGATACACCAAAGATGAAATGTTCCTCTGAATAATCATCTAAGTGTTCTTGGCAAATAAAAAGTGCAAACCAATTTAAATGTCATTTTACCAGGATTTTCTTTCAGTTCATTCTGATGTTGTTTAATGAATTAATCGATGCAGATTTGTCAAATTGGATATCTTCCTATTTCTCATGTGTTTATTAATTAGTTTAATTTATTTATAAAATTAGTTTTTATGCTATAAAATCAGATAGATTTAGGTTATTACCGACGTTGATGGCAACTTGGGATATCAGCGTAAGCACTTGCCAACTTGTGACGAATTAAGTGCTTTTCGTTAAGTAGGATAGTTAATATATTCAAAACCGCTTTTAATACTTTAATGGTTCTCATTTTCACGGAATAAAGGATTCAAAAGTAGTTACGCTGTTTTTGAATTATTTTTTTTTAAATGTTGCAAGTTCAAGGGAGGTAATATCAAAGCTGTGAAAATAAATTCAAGGGAGGCCACCCCGATTTAAATTTGAAAAATTCTATTTAGAAGATAAGGAAGTCTCATGCAGTCTTTTCTTTATCTGGCCCACATTATCTCTAATAGTACTTTAAAAACATCATGTGTAATCAATGGTATAATTAGAAAAATTGCAACAATTTGTCTGAATAATAAAGATTAATTCAATTCAGACTCAAATGTAATCTCTATAGCATACACAACAAATATTTGTTGGTTGACCAACAGACATATTATCTAATAATATTAGCTGTCCATCTATAATAAAAAAAAAAACCTGTTACACATTAATTTATTTGTTCACATTACATCAAAGATAACGTAAGATTTGTCACAGCCATGATAATAACATAGGACAATACACATAACTAAAACATACTCATTTACACATAATCATACAAGTTAAATTTTGTTCTGAATGAAAAACACCCTGTCCTTAATAGATAATACCACCTGATATTTTATTTCAAAGGAAGGAGACAAACTGCTATTCTAACTAAATATTTCTGGTGGGTGTATATAACTATAAATATTCCATACTAACAAAACATTGACAAGTAGTGCATCCACATTGTCTACAATCTACAAATGCCATCTGATATAAACCTTTATATTATAGAGAAGATATTCTATGGGGTTCAATTTTTTTTCATTCTAATATTGACTATTGACAGGAATATACAGAGGTATTAAATATAAGAAATAATAACTTTATTTTAACTGCAGGAATTCTTAAATTTGTTTTTTTTTTTACTGCTAACTCAAACTGACTGATCCTGAAAAATAATAATGGCACATCATAAGCTTTTAGGAATCTGCATCAAGAACAAGACATAATTCTTTGAAAGTAAGAATCTCTGTTAATGATCCTCAACAGATATCATGTTATTTTTCAATGAATTGTCATCGGCCTACTAAAATAACAAATCATTTGATACCTGACTTAAACAATTGAACAGCTTATCTTATACCAGAAATATACATCTCAATCGCAATCATTATCAAATAGCTGATTGGGATATGGAATTGGCATTAATTATTGTCGTTTGCATCTTGGCAAAGTTAGCAAGCTCTTTGATTAGTCCATTACAGAAAAACCAGACTAATGGACATTTTCAGATTATTGAGTGTTATACAGATCTTATATATTAATGAAAACTCATCTTGTTTACTTACATTCCACCATTCTTGCTGCATAAATCTAATCATATCAACTGATAACTGTGGTCCAAATAATGGGTTTAATTGACATAAATAAGCTGTTAACCAACTAGAAAAATATATACATAATAAACATATTAAAACTAGAAAATAATATTAAAACAAATATGACCAAATCAGATTCCTTGTCATTTGAACAGGCACTGATGGCACCACACCTATTCAAATGACAGAGTGGCTTCTTGAGATTGATGCTTGGTTAACCTGATTTCTCCGCCAATTCCAAGGCTGGACAGACCCACATGACGTATAACTCACTCATGATAAAGATCACTTACAGATGTCACAGTCCCCCTAAATATGCACTGCAGCTGCAGACACGCATCTGAATGGGGTGCTTAATTGACAAACACAATCAAAAAAGTTGAATTTGATGCTTTGGTAGAGTTCGCAAGCCCTGGACCACTGGTGATAACTGAACATTTCTATCTACTTACAATATATAACAACAAACAGCAGTTAAAATCAACATGATCTGATAAATTCTGAAAAAATAAAGGGAGTTATTGCAATCAATAAATTCATAAAAATCAACCAATTTTCAGTCTAATCACTAAGTATCAGTTAGGGCCTATCTTAGTCGTATCTATACTTGTAGTAATAGTGAAATACATTCTTCTTATCTCTTAACAACCAAAATATTTATGTTATGATTTCCAAGATAATGTGACTTAAATTTTTTTACATTAATATGGCTAACAGAATATTATTTTTTAGTTGGTGAACAAAGTTATACCCATTTTCCTCCACATAATAATACAATAAATCTTAACTAATATCCTAATTGGCCAGTTTCCTCAACGCCAACGGCTCAAGTCCCCGACAGTTCATCATTTGTCTTTATCTCTTCTGTCATTGAAATAGCCTAATATTACTGTTGCCACCTTTCTTAAAGAAAGAAAATTATTAATCATATTACCCTTTGTTGGGAGATCTCCATAAGAAAAACTGAAGTATTATTGGGAGCACAGCTCCTACAAAAAACCAAAAAGCTGTCACAATTCCGATAACTAGACCAGTCTCCATTTTGATTGCTAAAAGTAGTATGACCGGAAGTTAATATCATGTGATATAGTCGTGGTTGTCCAGTAAACTATATCGCTTCGTCTGTCACTCTAGTCCGAAAAAGTCTGTTTTGAAAACAAATACACATTTGTACAAACTTCGATTTTGCATACATTGGGAACGACAGAATGGCAATGTCGTGAATCAGTACTGAAATGTACCGATCCTGTATAGATTCGATATTCAATCCCACCAGCAACTATTCATATTATGTAACCGATTAAAATTGTAGATTTTGTCAGTGATGCAGAGGTACGAAGGGCTGATATGAAAAACAAAAACCGTCTTGTCGTTCAGATGGACGTGGATGATGGATGATAATTCGAGGCCCGGTGTGCTACAGACTGTACACGTTGAAAGATCACGTTTGGAAATCGAAAAAGAGCAGGATAATGCCGCTGTCCTTGCAAAATTTCCCGCATTGCACCCGACATGGCATTGCTTGTGTATATTAGCCCACATGGTGCAGAAAAGTAGGACATAAAAGTCAATTCATTTCATTTTTTCTGATTTTCTTATCCCATGTCGTTTCACTTGTAATGTTCTCTGTTCTTCTGTTTTCGATGGAAATATGTTTGAAGTTCAATTATAACTGAGGGGGCTGGGGTGAGATTATAATATCAACCATGAGTTTATTTACTGTCCCACTTAGATTATTATTCTTAACCTGACCTAATACACCACTTCGCAATACACAGATAAATCTTCTGGGTCAAAATGAAAACTATGATCAGAAATTATAAACTTTATAGCCGGTTTTTCAGGTCTAAATACGGGTCTACTACTTCTATCTGTGCTTCAAGATGTATATCGATTAAACCAAAGTATGACGTTATAATAGTAGGGGCAGGTATGTATAGTTTTATATATGCGTTAGAATGTCACTTTATATATATGTTCTGTAGGCCTTCAATTTAAAGTGACAGTGCGACTTGGCAGGCCCGAAGCCATACTTGATTGTTCGGAGGGGAAAGTAATATTTCCGAGGGGCAATGGTGTATGGTGCTAAGTTGAAGTAAAGGGGAGGAAGGGGGTTAAACCATTTTTTTTTCAGGGGGCTATGCCTTATAGATGGTAACGGGAAATGGTGTTCAGACCGAAAGACGGACCGAAAGACATTGGGTGACGCCAATATACTTTCCATACTGACTAAATTCTGAATTGCTTGAGTGTTAGTAACATTAGGCCTACCTCCGACTATTTACTTCTAAATATTATATAGGTTATATCTACCAGCGTGAATGAGAATAACGCGTATTGACAATTCTTCCAATTCGACCAACTTGGAAGAAGACATTGACTCATTTTCGTTACTAGAGATGGTTTCGATCCTGAGATAGCATTGAATACTGCTCTCCATCTTTTATTCTTTCTATCTTCGGATATATTCCACTTAGCAATTATAATACTTCTAAGGGAAATTAACACTGGTGCAAGTGGATGTACATGATAAAGACTTATATAATATACATACATTGTGCCTCAAAATGTTTCCGAGATCGTGATTTCCAGCAACTTACATTTTTTATTTAATGGCAATATTTCTACCAGACAGTACTTTTTTCTACCTAACCTTTGTATGGCTTATTATATTGATCGAGGTAAATAGAAGAAGTTCTCTCCCTTTGTACATGAAAATTCAAGCGCATTAAATCTCTCTAAACCTATAATATAATGGTTTGCACAAACGTATTCACGAAGCAATTAAAAAAACAGGAACAGTAATTAAACTACTTTCGTTTTGTTAGTGTCACGTGACCTGTTGACCTTGAACTTCTTGTTGCGCACGCAGTCTTCAATGACAGACAAAAACCAGTTTCGTTAAAAAAAAACTTTGATGGATCTGCAGCACGGCATACATGATGTACTGGGATAATGATGGTATAAATGAACTACAAAATCATCCATCTTTCCGAATATATCGGATATTGGCGGTTCTGAGGTATTCAAATAGGTTTAAAACCCCCGCACCTGCAGAGATGCGGAATGTCACCAGTTAAAACGGCTTATTTTTTCTGTCTCTACATCAGCTGACATCTGTCCAAATATCTATCAGAGGCTGGTTTAGAGACCGATGTTGTGGTGTAGCTGCTGACATAAACATTATGGAATCAAATCATGTCGGGTCAAATTTTATATTGTATTGTACTGTATACTGCCAATGCTATTGTGTTGAAACTTGAAATTTTCAGCGTCGATGTTATATAACCTTGCTTTTCTAGTTTGAAAGTTAAAGCCAAATCAATTTATGACAAATTAAATTGGCCCCACTCACCCATTATTTCATACAAATTCTCTCTTGGTATTCCAGGACACAATGGATTAGTTGCGGTAAGTAATATCAATATTATTCATTTTGTTCAATACCATCATTGCTACCCTTTTGAAGTGAAGTAGATTCGTTACAGTTTAATATAATATTCGAATAATTTAAGATCCAAGAAATGAATAAATTACAGTTTACTTTTTACTTTTTTAATAACATATTATTTGGTGACTGCTTTGCTATACATTGTTTTGGTAGGCAGCATATCTCCAGAAAGCCGGCGTAGATGTTTGTGTTTTAGAGAAACGACATGTTATTGGCGGAGCTGCGGTTACAGAAGAAATTATTCCAGGTAGGGCTCCGAAATTTTTAAACAGAGCGTTACTTTATGATCGAATATTCGGATATGATTCACAAACAGTATTTATTTTGTGAAGTTTAAGTCGAAATTAATTTCATTTTCTTTCAGAATTTAAGTTTTCCAGAGCATCTTATCTTCTCAGTTTATTTCGACCGCAGATCATCAACGATTTAGATTTAAAGGTTCGTATATACGCCCTATGTAGTTATATCATAGTATTATACGCTATACTCCTAGCGCTATATAGTATAATAACAAAACTCACTTACCTTGTTATTACCACTAGTTATTGTGACCGCATATTCTCGAAACGATCTTGGCGCTAGGATGTCATAGGGTATTGACTTCTTACACGGTTTCGATAACATTCTAGCGCTTATATCGTTTCGAAATTGAAACCTGGACTTCTGTTCCCCTTTATAAGTCTTAGTCACACATAAATAAGAGACTGTGTTGGTAATCTAACATATAGATTTAATTAAGCTCCACAGAATTCGAGATTATAACAATAAATTTATACTATTTCAGAAGTATGGGCTGAAAGTGTATCTTAGGAATCCTAGTTCCTATACACCACTACGTGAACCAGGTGGTTTAAATGGTAAAACAACTTCTCTTACTCTTGGCATGGATTCAACCTTTAATAAGCAACAAATCGCTCAATTTTCTATAAAGGACTCACATGTAAGTTGGAAAAGAGTTTACAGAAAGAACTAATCGGACTAAATTAGAAATTCTTTACACGATTCAGTTTGTTTTTTTTTATCCATGCAAATATCTCAAAGTAGATTTGGCGCATTCCTCCAATGCACAATCGATATTTAGTTTGACCTCATGAAATTGTATTTTTACTCCAACCCATGAAAACCTTGTGATCGTGGAAATGATTAAGCTAATGATTTTTGGTCAAATCAGTCCAACTCCAGTGAGACAGGCAGTCAACTAACTGCAATAAAAAAAAAGTCTAAATCTAGATAAAATACAATGATTAAAAAATCTACTTCAAGTGACATAAGAGGCTAATATTCCACGGAAGTTGTAGAAGCCTTACTAGATTATCTTCTATTTTAGAATTTTGAATTATATGAAGAGGTTTTGAGTAAAGTTGTGAACTGTATTGAACCATTATTAGATCGAGTTCCAATTCAAGTCACACGAGATATAAAACAGTCGTTATCAGCTAAAAAATATGACTTACAGACTGTCCTGGCATTTTTATCATCGTGTAAGTAACCAAATCAAGTTATGGTCAACAGAATTCCTGTTTTTATAACAAGTATTTCAGTTAACACACCGATAACTTTTAACATTCAACAAGAAACCTTTATGTATACTAAGATGGTAATTGAAAAGAGCTGTTGGATTGATCTTCAACCCACATTATAGTCTTAAAATTATGAATCGTTGTTTAGAAAATACGTCAGCCATTACTCAATATTATCTTTCACAGATTACCAGATATCCTTTTAAAATTTTCACACCTTAAAGAAATTATATACACTTCCTTATTTCAATTTATACCAGTGTCATTATTTTGACTATAAGGGCTTACAATCATTTTCGGATCACATATTTATATCATGCCATTGATCAAATTAAGTAATTAACTAATTTTAGTTAATCATTTGTGTTTTTGTACATTGGTATAATTCAAGCATTGGTGTAGTCAATGATCGAATTATGTATCGTATCGTCTTCATAGATCACCAAACTTCTTACATTTTAGATAAGAAAACGGAACAAGATTTGTCTACATTCTATGAGCTTATGACAGCTCCAGCAATAAAGGTACGGATTATATTTTTGTAAAAGTATATAGAATATTCGTCGTCAGTAATTGTTGCGGGTCGTCGTAGTTATTTTTTATCGTTATTGCTATCATAAAGAACCGTTTTTGAATAAATTTTCATTTCAAGGGAAATAATTTGTCTCAGAATTTATAAATATGAATACAGAACTATAAGAGACAAATTAATATATTTATCAAATATCTTGTGATGCCGATATAGAACTTATTAATTAGGATTTCCCTATTCACGTCAGTGACAGTGATCGAAATATTTGCTTTTCAAGCTTATTTAGGTCAATTTGAGCAGTCAATTGTAACTTTTCAGGAAGAACGGAAGGGTTAACTTTTTCTGAGAACAGTGTTCGATAACACCCTACTGCTATTCTGATCAATAATACATTATTCACCTGTGGTTGATAATGGCATACTAACTATTTAGACTGTGATCACTTCCGATCTTACCTTTTTTCTGAAATTACAAACAGGAATTCTTTTCTGGAAAATTCTTAGAACAGTTGATATATAGCTGTATCTCGATTGCAACTATTTTGACGATTGGACGCTTAAAACCTCTTATAAAAGTTATTTCTAAGAAAAACGTTCTCACATGAAAAACATTGTCAATCATAGCGAATCTATTGAGACATGAAATGAATAAATATCAATGAAAATTTGTAGATTTTAGATCGATGGTTTGAGTCGGAACCTTTAAAAGCAACATTAGCAACTGATTCTGTTATAGGAGCAATGTTAAGTCCTCATAGTCCCGGTAGCGGGTAAGGTTATTATCTATTCTTTTTTTGGTAATTTAACAAAAAATATTATGTAATGAATTAGGTCTTCTATCAATAAGTAGACAACAGCAAGGATTTGGGTGCAAAAACCAAATAAAAATTTACTTCCAGCTGCCACTATAATCGAGAAACTAGGGTAGCATTAGAAATAATAGTACTATTATACGGTATTTTTAAACTGACCGGTTATAATAATCATTATTCATTGACCATGCTAATTGTGTTGCAGTTATGTTTTGTTACATCATGTTATGGGTGAATTGGAAGGTGTAAAAGGAGCCTGGGGATATGTTGAAGGTGGTATGGGGTCAGTATCAACTGCCATTTCAAACTGTGCCGTAGATCATGGTGCTAGAGTTCTGGTTAATAAGGTTAGAATATAGACATTCTTTTCATTTCTCTCTGGTACCTTGGCTATAATTTACGAATGAAATGTCACGGTAATTGGTCTTTACAATCTTGAACATTTCTCTCATAAAGTAAAAAAAAATATAAATATATAGTCATTGTCTCAGAAACTGTAAAACAGACTTCATCAAGTAACACCTGCTCAGATGAAATAAGGTGATCCTGGTGACTCAGTGAGATTCTTTCTCTCTAGCCTGAAGGTCCGACGTCCAGTGTTCCTTCGGATGGTTCAACCAAATTTCTCCCGGTCAGTGATACTGGTCATGGAAACATGTCGAAAAACCTGGATGTATATATGGTTAATGTAGTAAATCTACAGCGGTTTGCAATATCAGCATCCGCTGGAAGCGGACGTTAACTTGTCATTTACCAACCAACCAATCTACAGCGGTTCATTTGATTAATGTACTAAAGCCAAATATTATGTTTTATTTATGAGTGAAAAACCACATTGGATTTAAAATCAGACAGTTTCTCTTTCTTAAATTTGTAAAACCCTATCTTTTGTTTTGATCAAAGATATAACACGACATAATTCCTTTGTCTTATGTAAATGATATATAAAACCAGATCGATTGTGTTGTGGTAAGTGTAAAACCACATCGCTGCGTTTTTTGTAAATAACTGAGTCAAGGCACATAGTTTGTTTGAAATAAAGATTTACAACCACACTTTCGTGTAGAAAGTTATAGCCTTTACGTCTGTATGTTTTTATTTCAGTGTGTTGAGAAGATTAATATTGAAAATGGTAGAACGAAAGGAGTTGTGCTAACTACTGGAACAGAGATCGAATCAAATATAGTTCTCTCTAACGCAACCCCGAAGGTCACCTTTTTAGATCTGGTCTCAGACGTAAGTTATGCTTTTAGCCCACATTTCTATAGTATGAAAAGCTACTTTATTTGATGCTTTTGAATGCACATGAAAGGATAAAATGATCAAGAGAGTTCCATGTTCTCCCTGAGATCAATGACAAACTCATTTATTCATATACTAATGGTAAAATGGTTCAGTAAGAAGCATTATATAGATTTAATGTATTAAAAGATGAATGATTCAGAAAAACAACTGATTTTTTGGCAGATAAACACCAAGAGTTTGCATTTCTCAATTCAATTTCGTAACAAGCATTAAATATTAAGATTTTTAAAAGATTTGTCAAATCGATAAACTCCAATACATATATATCTTTGTATATAATGCAAATCGTATACAAATAATCAAAAAGGCAAGATAAAAAGTTGAGAACTGTGTGACAGACAAGAACAGGATCTATCTTATTAACTCAATTCTCTTCGATTTTCTTGCTCATACACTGAAGAGTAATGTGATCATATCAACAACTTATCAAGTTAACAGATTGCTGTTAATCATACTTCGAACCAATTTCATCTTTGATTCATGATTTGAATTTTCTAACTGTTTTGTATCTTATAAATCTTCTTTACATTCGTTAAAGCCTCAGTCTCACTGGGCTTTGCGATGGTTTGCGAACCATTGGTTTAGGAAAAAAGTGGACAATCTCAATGCTTCGTAATGATAATATATTATGCAGAATGTTCACTGTGCTTCTGCGATGATCACAAGACATCACAAGTCTTCGTGTTGGATCACTACAGCTTCGCATAAGAGGAAAAAATGTGGAGATGCATTCACGAGGTTTTGTCGTCGAATGTGTATGCAAAAGCATCGGCAAATATTTTCCGGTATCCCGGCGAACCGTTTGCGACAATTTTCATGGGCGTTCTCGCGCCGAGAAACCTTATATATAATTTTAATAGGTCCTTGTACTCATAGGTGTGGTGTAAAAAAACTCTACGCGCTGCTAACACTGTGTAAAGGCTTGTCTGCACAAACGCGTTTTCATAAGCATTTTAACTCAGCGTAAAACGCGTAAGATTACGCCTGAAAATGACACAGCCTAATACGCTGCGTTGTACTAACTCCACTTGAGCGTAGACGGAGAAACACATGCTAGGGTCCCCATTTTGGGAATATCACAACTTGGTGAGGCAACTATTCTCATTATTATGATAAGTTTTTCATAAATATGCTCACTTGACATTTTTATTGTGAGTTCATTGACTAAATTCTAGCTGATTACGCCAAGCGATAACGCCTAAAACTCCTTGGGAGGTTTTAAGCTTATTACGCACCGTTGACAGGTGATTTTTACAACTCGCTTATGTGGACAAGGACCTATTGAAATGAAAGGCCTTTAAGTCCAAGGCCACATACGCGTTTTCATGAGCGTATTAATCAAAATGTAGTTTATCTTACTTTCAGAATTGTTTAAGTGAAGACCTGGTTTCTGAATTAAAACAGATTGATTATAAATCTCCTGTGACTAAGATAAATGGTAATGCTGATAATATGATAAATAGTTGACATAAAATCCAACAAATTCCAACTTGCCCGAGATCTTATCAATTACAATGATTCCACCAAGTTTCAACAAAATCGGGTGAAAATTGTAGCTTCTATTTTGCTCGCAAATAAATTTTGTTTCGATTTACAAAATTAAGGCATTAACTCCGTTCATCGAAAAATCTTTAAATTCGAACTTGACCGAGACCTTATCAATTCAAATGCCCATGCCAAGTTTCATCAAAATCCAAATGACGCAATTTTACTCAGTCTAGGGAAATAACTCAAAAACCGTTCATCGAGAAATTGTCTAATTCGTATTTGACTGAGATCTCACCATTGAAAAGGATCACAGAAAATTTCATTAAAATCAGATAGAATTGGCAGTCTCTATTATGCCCACAAGAAATGTTGACCGACGGGCTGACGGACCTATAAAAACTAGATGTGATTCGTAACAATATGTAATTGGTTGTGATTGATACAGACAAAACCGTGGCGCCCACAATATGATTCGATATATTTTATTCAGGTTTTATAATATAATTTACTACAACACATAATGCCCTTGAGTCAAACCACATAGAAATAAACATAACAATATTTGTGAATGACGATTTGTATTCAATCTACTGGACTTTCTACATCATACGTCGATGGTAATTGTTATTTCCCCATGAGACAGTTTCTGCAATGGATAGCAAAAGTAAGTGGTTCGGTGTCCAATTAATTGCATTTCTCTCCTACGAAACTCATTCATGTGGAGAGATAAATAGGATTTATACAGAGATATTATTACTTTTGACACACAGAATATAGAAAATTGAATCTTGTCGGCCTTAGGGGTCGATATATGTGATCACTGTTTACATTAAAAATTACAAAAGATCGAAAAATATTTGTTATTGAAAGAAACAGACTTTTAATTTCTTCTTTAGGAATGTTTGGTAATAATTCAAGTGAAACAGTAAGCATTATGGCAAATCTTTCTTATAATTTAAAGTGAAATTGACGGAACGTTGTTTGAGTTATTGCCCTTGACTTAGTCAAAACGGATCAAACTTTATTCGTGAGCACAATAGAGTTTGAATTTGAAGAGTTTTCGATGTACGGTTTATTAGTTATTGCCCGCGTCGTAGTCAAATGTGTCCAAAGTTCTTCATGAGTACAGTAGAATTTGCAATTTTCAATCGATTCGATTTGTGATATTGGAATTGATAAGGTCTTGTTTAAAGTAAGGAGCTGATTTCTTTTACAATGAACATTTTCTGAGTATTGATGTTGTGTGGGCGTATATTTACCTTGACTGGTAAGCTATCTTTTCATATATTAAGAAAGCACAAGAGTTTATTTATTTTTTTATTTAGTTTATTTTTATTATTTGATTTTATTGCTATGGGTTGTCGAATCGATAAAGGTGATGTCGATATGAAAATTGCAAAGGTAGGCTACATAAATAAAATTGTTGAACTGAAAGTTCCTATGAATTCACCAGGTTTACACGATTGTACACACAGGAAAAAGAAACTTCGCCCATTGAATAAAATACAGCATTTTAACAACACTGCTTCAGCCTTTTTCTTTTTATATTTCAGTCGCTGTTAATAAGGTTCCTAATTTCCTGGCTGATCCAAATACAACAAGTGATTGTATAATGCCCCATCACCAAACAACTATACATATTAACTGTGAACATAGTGATTTGATTCATCGAGCTTATTTAGATTCTCAACATGATCACTATTCCAAAGAGTTAGTATTGCAATCAGAATTGATAGATCAACTGACATCGCGAAAAAATAGTTCTACGTATAAAGAATCACCCAAATTAAACTTGATTTCTGAGTACCGTTCTCAAAATGTAAGAAGTCACATTTGCGAAACAAAACATCTATTCGTATAGCAAGCTATATTAATTCCGATTAGGAAGGCGAAGGCGTAGTGTAATTCCTTACTTTGTAGAACATTTTGATCGTAAGGTTGTCTTGATTTTAGAATTCCGTGTAATAACTTAAGGTCAAAGTAATGTGGAAAAATTCTAATTATAAAGATTCTGTAATTACTCGCCCTGCCTTTGTTTTTACTATCAGTAGAATAATTAATATATTCATCATTGATCCATTAGACAGACCGGAAGTGTAATAAGTAAGATAATAATGGTAATCACGACAGATTTCTTATCATACTATTCCGATATCATTACATAGAATAAAGAGCCTACAAGAAACAAGGTTACCTATTCGTAATATTGATGAATCTTTTTTACTTTCTACTTTTTACTTCGTATCAGTAACTATTTTCACTGTTTCGTGGTCCGATAATAGGAATAATGATAAAGGAGTTTGTTCACTGGGCATTTATCAGGAAATCGACCAAAATAGATTTAGTGATACAGTTCACATCGCTTTCTTAATCATTCGCGAACTAAGTTAAACCACCACATTGAACGCATTGTCATAGAGGGTACCTCAAGTATCTCAAGGTGCGATCTCGGTTATTTCCGGGTGACTGAAAATCATAAAAAAACTATACGATATTACAGAGTTTCCTTAGAATTTGGAGATTTTACACACTGTTTCTATCTTTTTCTGTCTTCCTTAGCTTGCCATGTTTGAATCATGTATAAGAAACTTGTACCGTTTTCCGGCCGACCGCTGTATTATTGGAAATCAAATATTATTAATATGTTCGGGGTTTTATAGGAAAAATCAACCGAAAGATACCTTATAATAGCTTTATGATTAAATATTATCCGAGGAACTTTATTATAGGGTTTCAGTATCTATTTGGTACCCTTGTGAGATATTTCTTTCTCTACATCCATTTCAGGCCGGTAATTGAAATGGTAATACCATCCAGTTTAGATAAAACAATTTCGCCACCAGGTTCTCACGTTGTCCTTCTGTTTACTCAGTATACACCTTATACTCTAGCCAATGGTCAAAAATGGGATGAAAAAACTAAACAAGATTATGCCAATATAGGTGAGAAGATTGTTTGCACATTGGTAATATTGCCATTATAAAATATTCTATTTGACGAGTGATAAGTTGTGATCACTTAACTAGTCTTATTTCATTGACAGGTCCTTTACTTCCGGTAAATACCACCCTCAGTTGTATGTTTTTTAACTACTTTCATTAATAGATAAAGGATTCGTGACATCACTAAAGGTCTCTTCAGTAGAGAAAGGTTTGTCAAGTGAATGAAATATTTCACGTCTATAGATATTCGGTGGGAACAGGTTAGGTTCAATAACCTTCTAAGGACAGTAATGGTTTGAAGCCAACATCAAGGAAGATGAAAAAAGATAATGAATCAGCTTAAGTAATAAATATTCCAAATAAATGATGTTAGATATATGGTCTCAACGAAAGAGATATCGAGTTGACAACCACAGACTGACATAATCGCGAAAGAATGAGCATGCAATTCCTCCCTAGAAACAACCGTCACCGTAGAAACACCCGTCATATTGTAGTAAGCTTAAGAGCTCAGGGATAATGCTAAGAATGACAAGTGAGGCTGTTTTGGGCACCAGCGTTTGTAATAAACAAATGTACCAAATAAACAATGTATGGACGCTCCGGAAGGGATACCGAATGAACAAACACTTTTGCAGAGTGGCATCAGGTGTTTCAGAGTTTCAATACGTTAAATCTGTTTGGAGATTTAATGGTCTAACTGAAACAATGAGATTCGTATCTGCAAGTTTTGTGTTTATGTTTGCAGTATTTGATAGTATTGAGAGATATGCGCCTGGTTTTAAAGATAGTATAATTGGATCTGATATACTAACACCGCCTGATTTAGAAAATATAATCGGCTTGACTGGAGGGGTATGTGTTTTATTTATCTTGGGGTATGTGTTTTCGCCCTGGGGTTGGGGGCTGGGCGTATAAATTTTTTTAAGCAAACCATTTTATACTATGCATCCTGTGGACTTTCTTGACTGGTTGGGATATGTGTTTTTTTTAGTAAACGTTTCATATTATGCGTCTTCTGGATTCTATTTTGACTGGTATGTGTTTTGTTGATTAAATATTTCTATATAATGCTTCCTGTGGATTCTTTCTAATTATTCGGTCTGCTAACATGAACTTCACGCAGATGCCATGATAATGAAGCAGACGAGTTTCGATTATTTAAGGTTTGAAAATTACGCATGTATCAGCATGCGCTTAATAGCAAGGTGGAATTTTTTGAATACATGTCTTTGAAAGCAATGAAATCACTTGTCTTTACCGTTGATTTTACTAATTTTATATCATGTTCCCGATGACCAAGGTTGACGCCTTTACACGTACTGGCATTGGTTTTAAATCGTAGACCAAAACACGCCTTGGACCCGCCGTAAATTTTCTTTTGATGTTTTTGACAGTTCACTAGTCTGTCCAGTCCTTTGCATGATATCACGTTGGGTCCATTGGTCCGTGATAGCTTTTGTCGCTGGGTACATGATAAAAACCTACCATATTTCAGGAGCTTGTGCACGTAGTATTTTAGTAGAACTATCTAACAGTCATGTTGACTGTAATTTAACGCTTATATTATATTTATGAGAGGGATTTAATATTAATTATTTTGACATGATGACTACTTTCCAAATCAATATAGATGTTTGTTCAACCAGTTAAAATTAATTAAAAAATATTAGGCTAATAGAATTTTATTACTTTGTAACCCTAACTGGATTATAATAAATTTAATAAAAACTGAGTAGCTTGATCTACTTTTATTTTGTTGACCTATAAAATAATCTTCAGTATCTAAACTGTCATGGTTGATTCTTGGTGTTTAATGTTTGAAGCGGTTGAAAACAAATCTTCATAAAAGATTTTCATAATACATGGTTAACAAGTCATTAGGTTTGAAGTTGAACAATGTCATTTGTTCTTAAAAATTGTTGATGTCTTGAAAGAAAACACAAAGAAGATGCTTCATAGACAATTCCTATGATCAATATGAATTCGATAACCTGTAGACCTGAAACAAACTTTTGCCACCAACAAGTACACTCATTAATTAATAAATAATAGACTAATGAACTGCAAAGGTATTGTTATTATTGTATTTGTACCAATACACATGAACCTCTTGAAGCATGTCCTGGCGATTTAGCTCCTCAGACTTCCACCTGTTCCCAAAATACAAAAGGATTTAGCTAGTAACGATAACGTCATTTCCTCTGCATGTGAATGACTGTTTTGGGGCGCCTGTCGAAAATCGCATGTCCCAATGGCCAACGCCCTTAACATGCCACTGATTTAATAGTGTTGATTCAATTGTCGATAATATGTTCGAAAAAACGTTGCCATCTTGATCAAAGTATCCGATTCATTTAACTAACCTTTACACAACCGGATATTGTGTGACGATAACATCCTGTAGTATCGAGGATAAGAACTTTTATCTCTTGAACTTTGAATATTTGCTTCAGATTAAAATTATAAAAGTAAACTAATTGTTTGACAATATTCAATGAGCTCATTCAAAACGCCCTGGGTTAGGTATTCTCATTGAAATTCATTAGAAAGTTTTAAATTGGACAGTTGAATTATAGATTTCTGAAGATTCCACATTTCAAAATCAAATTTCTTAGAATTTCAATTGCTTTATATTTTTCAAGTATTGAAGAATTGAAGAGAATAAAAAATGAATCTTATGGCGTTTTCAGGGTTAATATGATCATTTTCTATCCTGGGGTAAACCAGATAAAAAAAATTTAAAAGAAGTTATCGACTATCGTACTCTCTGAGAAGAAGATTCTCTTATTGAAGCCACCAATGTTCTCTATAATGACTTCCGATTGAACAGCCATAGCGACAATAATTGTATTTTTCTCTCTTCTATATTCAATATAGAAATCTTATCTTAGTTCCTGCATTGCCTCACTACTCAAATTAATTATATTTTCAGAATATATTTCATGGTTCTATGTCACTTGACCAGCTATATTTCTCTCGACCACTGTCCAGTTTATCCAATTATAAATCACCTATAAAAGGTTTATATTTATGTGGTAGTGGTGCTCATCCGGGTATGGCTATTAATTTATATTCGTCATTTCACTAATATTTCAGATTAATGTGATGAAATAAATTCAATTTTTCTAAAAGCTCTCAACAAATTTTCGTAGGCGACAGGTGGATCTTTTATCCTTTTTAGCATTATGGAAATAAACTTGACAAAAAGTAACTGCAATCAAATGATCCTCAATATTTGCTTATCGAAATGATGTCAATAGTAACATCTGTCGAATGTAGAAACCACCTGAAAAGTTGTCAGCCCCATCTTGGAATGGAATAATTTAACAACCCAAAGTTCTATTCTTAACTTACTTAAAACAAAAGAAGAGTGTTTGAACTGAACGAGTCAATTTAGAGATTGTAAATTGTCTTAACGAAAATTCGGCATTAACCGTTTTTGACGTCAGAGTATTGATATTTTCGAGTATTCAGATTTTCTGTGTCCTTTCCAATAAAACAATTGACACTAATTTATTGTAAGGGTTCTTACCAATGTCTTTAATTCAATATTCGGTAATAAGTAAGAAAATTCAATCTAGAATAGAGCTTCTGTCAAAATTAACCAAGAAAATAGATATTCAGAAAACAGAAATTATATTTGGCTTGATTTTAAATTTTTAAAAACATTGCCTAGTTTTATTTACCAACGTGGCGTAGTTGATGTAGTTGGTATATCGTTGAGATTTAGCTCCCTACCATACATATTCAGGATCTATTTATTGTGTACGAATTGAATGCTGTGTTACCATTTCAAAAGTGGTATCTCCACTTGAGTCCTTATCATTCGGTAATAATATTAATCCTTCTAGCACTACTAACACTGGATGCAAATGATTTAAATGAATGGGATCATTAATGACTTATTTTGTCAAATGTAAAGCAATCTGTTTCAAGTACAATTTTAAATTCAAAAGGACACTACTATATGCCTAAATTTTGTTTCACGTAATTACAGGTGGCGGTGTGATGGGATCACCAGGGAAACTTGCAGCATTCAAAGTTTTGGATGATCTGAAAGCTAAACGAATAAAGAAATAGATACTCACTGGAATAGGCCTATTAATAATATCTAATGGATATATATCATGACAATATTAGATGAAAGATAACGATTAAATGGTCAAAATCAACCCAGCAGTTATTTTTTTTTTTTATGATCCCCATCGGCTTAGCCTACTTGTATGTATTACAACTCCTGTACTGTTTTGTGATTTTTGCTAATTACCGGATCAATAATAGAACAAATTCTGTTAATATATCAACGTTTCCTTTTCTTTTTTATACTTTTTTTTATAAAACACCAACAATTTGAAAAACTTTTGTGACAAGGAAAAAGAAATTTGGATTTGACAGGTGACAATGACAGTCTCGCATGCAACATAATCAAATACTGGTGGCTACGTCAACATTATTCAATACTACTTTTACATTGTGTTAGATGATGATGAGAACTTTCCATACATCGTCTCATACAAGCACTGGACTGACGATTTGTGATTAAACAAGTTAAGAACAAATTAAGAACATTAGAACTGTTAATTATGAGTGAGTAATCTTTTAATAGTATTCTTTCCTTTGGTGAATTTGCTGATAATATAAGAATCATTCTTCTTCTGTTATATCACTAACATTTCGTGTTACAACGTGATAACATCCTGCAAAAAATCGTATTGTATTTGTTTACAACTAAACAATTTGAGCTCAATTAATATGTATGATTTTATATTAATATCACGACGGGGAGATATTGTTCAAAGTGTAATGCAGATTATTACGAAAGGTACAGATACAAAGAAGAAGCGTGATATAACAACACAGGAATATCCGGGGCATAATTTATCACGATATTATCTCATTTATCACAATAAACATAAAAACCTTCAATATAACACTTTTTCAAATCAATTATTGTAAATAAACTGAAACTTTATGTATTGATGCATGTATTAATAAGTTACATTGGGTATTTACCAGCTTTATAATGACAGGAATGTTGATGGTAAAATTCGCATAGCCAATAATACCGATCAACCACAAACTCTCAAACGTCATGAGCATTTCTGTCCAGTAAGACGTGTGGAAACTATCACAGATTTGGAAATATTGCCTGTCCGCGAATCCTGTCCTCTCCAGTCCTGAAAGACACAGCCTTTTTTCCGGTATCGTTAAATTAGATCCATAATTAGATAATATTTTACCGCAGTCGATCAGTCGGAGTCTTTCGTAAACCCGAAGATATTAACAGAGGAGTACCCAAACCCTTCATTTCTAGTTAAGAAAAGCGCTGGTGGATTTAGACTTTGCAGATACAGCCAGATACAGCAAACCACAGCCATCCCTCATGTCAGATGTTGATTCCATCTTACGTACCATTGCCTGCTGACAATATGTGATCGTTACCGATTTGACAAAGCATTCTACCAAATACCCCTCGCCACTAGTTCTATGAAGTATTGTGGAGTGTGTACTCCTTTCAGAGGTTTTCACGTTTATACCCATACTTCTATGGGGATGCCAGGATCTGAGACTGTTCAGAGTTTTAGGCGATCTTTTGTACTTGAGGAAAATTACCAAACTTGTTGATGATTTATATATTGGAGGTAATACTAGAGTATTATAGTCAAACAGAGAACCTTTCCATAACACACGAAAAGCCTAATCTCACACGAGTGGAACGTGAAGCGTTAAACTTACGATAGCATTGTTATTAAAAAGAATGACAAAGGTTCATGTTGTGTCATTCTGAATAGGGAGGATTACGTTTCAGAAGCAGAGAATCAACTGAATAATCCTAAACATTATGCCATTTTACCGAAACCAATTTTCAAAGAAATTGCTAATATGATTAACAATATTCTTGCCGATTTAGCCAAAAATAGTTATCTCATACAGAAACAATATGACTATCTGTCTGCCAAACCTGATTGTCGTGAGAGGCATTTGTACACTTTGCCTAAGATCCATAACAATCCAACCAAGGAGTGGTTTATCTCGAATAAAATCCCTAAAGACCGCCCGGTTATATCTGACTGTGGTAGTGAGTTGTATGCAGTGTCAGAATACATTGATCATTTCTTACCACCTCTAGCATGTCAACATCGAGCATACCTTAAAGACACAGCCGATTTTGTCAATAAAATAAAAAAAACCCTTCTAATGCTATTTTAATTTCTATCGACGTTTCTTCTATGTATACCAATATCGATAATACTGCTGGTTTAACGGCAGTTCGTAAAGCTTTTAATAGAAACCCAGATCCAAACAGACCCGAAGATGCAATCCTACAGCTTTTAGATTTCGGGGAAGGGAGGGTTTGATTCTCCCAAATGTACAGGCCTAGGGTGGAGCAGACACTTTATTTAGAAATTAGGATTAAGGGTCTTGATATTGGGTTTTCTTCTGTTCTTATTCTGATCTGAAATTAGAAAAAATAACTCGCCCGATGGGCGAGAAGTATAGTATCTGTTATGTACTGATTGTTTTTAGTTTACTATGAACAATATTATCATTTAAGTTCTTATTTTTTGAATATGCAACTATCACTATTCTGCTTATAGACATGGGGGAATTTCTCTTGAAGGCTCTTATAGTGGGCATGAACTATCTTGCTTGCTCGATTGCTGGTTGTATTAAACGGGACAACAAAGGGTGCTATACCTACATTATGATGAATATTTAGTCCTATAGGTCTTGCTGTATTCAATGTCTCAACCCAATGGGCCTCCCTAGATTGACGGAAGTTGGTAGTTTCATCTTCGGGCAAGTCAATTTCTATACGCTCAATTGGGATTTGGGTGAGATCGTCTATTGAATGGTCGTCGAGGTTGAAATGATTAGAAACAGGCTTGTCTTTCTTTAATTTGATGTCTGACCTATGAGCATTAAGCGAGTTCGTAAATTATTCTTAGTTTCTCCTACATATTGTTTGGGGCATTTCTTGCATGAAATTAAATATATTACATTCGAATGTTCACATGTTAGATGTTCCTGGATCGGGTACCTTTTATTCGTAGAGTTGCTTACAAAATAATGAGTTTCTGATATAAAGGGACATGTTTTGCATCTACTGGACAAACATGGAGCACTTCTTAAACCTGGAGGTACTTCGGCATAAAGTCTGTTTTTAGCTGCTATCTGTGCTAAGGTGGAATTTTTTATGTTTCGTAAAAATCGTTTAGAGTACCCACGCTCTTTCAGTTTTGAAAAAACAATCGTACAGGCTTGGTTGAAATCAGAAGATCTTGTACAAATTCGATGAAATCGTAAAACTTGTGACTTAATTATACCAGAAAAGGTATGTTTTGGGTGAAAGGAGCTCTTGTGCAAGAGTTGATGAGTATCAGTTTCTTTGAAATACACTTTAATATCCAGTTTATTTGTTTCTGCTATGGAATCTCCCTTAAAGACTGTGGTATCGAGGCAGAGTGGAAACGTGAAAATAAAAGGTACCCGATCAAGGAACATCTAACATGTGAACATTCAAATGTTATATATCTAATTTCATGTAAGAAATGCCCCAAATAATATGTCGGAGAAACTAAGAATAATCATTTTAATGCTCACAGATGGGATATCAAATTAAAGAAAGACAAACCTGTTCTAATCATTTCAACCTCGACGACCATTCAATAGACGATCTCATCCTAATCCCAAATGAGCGCATAGAAATTGACTTGTCCGAAGATGAAACTACCAAATTCCGTCAATCTAGTAGCCCATTGAATTGAGATATTGAATACAGCAAGACATATAGGATTAAATATTCACCATAATGTAGGCATACCACACTTTGTTGTCCAATTCAATACAACCAGCAATCGAGCAATCAAGATAGTTCATGCCCACTATAAGAAACAGAAAACGATAGTTGCATATTCAAAAAATAAGAACTTAAGTGATAATATTGTTTATAGTAAACTAAAAACAATCAGTGCATAACAGATACTATTCTTCTTGTCCATTGGGCGAGTTATTTTTTTCAGATCAGAATCAGAACAGAAGAAAACCCAGTATCAGGACCCTTAATCCCAATTTCTAAATAAAGTATCTGTTCCACCCAAGGCCTGTACATTTGGGAGAATCAAACCCTCCCTTCCCCAAAATCTAAAATCATCTGCTTTTAAAACGATTATTTGCCCCAAGTCAACACCATCCTAGTGTGGATATGGTCACAAGGATCAATCTCAATCTCAAGCTCTCATCGCATTTCAACTTTATCTACATCGCCTCCATCTGACAACGTTCGAGGAATGTCCTCCTTCATCGGTGCCTACAAGATCCTTGGTAGAGCCTTACCTAACTTTTCTTCACTCTTGGGCGATTCTTGTTCTTCCAGCAACAAACTCGAGTGGTCAGAGGATTACATCATCATTTCTCTACAGTCACTAACACACCACAAAAGCTTTTTATTACCCCGACCAACGGATCAACTATGGATCGTAACCTTACGGTCTGTAAGGCGAGGACTTGGAGCAACTCTGTACTTAACCCGCAACAGCAAAACCTCATTGGCCGGTTTCTTTAGCGCCATGTTGAAAAAAAAAACAGATAACTTGGTTACCTTTTTAAGATATTTCCACAACCTGTAGCTGAACAATCTACACAACCTCCACCACAATCTACTGGAGTATCATATGCTGCTGATGTATTAAAACGTTGCAAACAAATAAATTTCCTTCAACATGAAACAGCCTCTTCTTATACAGTTTGCTGCCTTATAGATGATGAGCCTTCAACAACATTGCTTGACACTGTCTTGAAATGCGCCCCATTACTGATCCACCGGTAGTTGTTCGTATGGATCCAGCTCCTTGTTTCGTAGCTCTTCGTGAAGACTTGGAATTACGTTAGACATAGGTCGGATTAAAACAATAACAATAACCCAGTCGCTGAAAAGCTATTGCTGCACGTATAGATACCTCTTGGCTTATCTATTGTAACTTAAGCTCGTCTTCGCTTGATGAGTCGTCATTTAAACATTCAAACGTGGATAATTCTGGACACACATGGAGTTGAATGCTCAAATTTCGACGGTGAGC